CCTAACTGCAGTACTCTCTATAACAGATGTTGAACGGCCTGGCTAAGATGTCTCAACGCCCCGGTCTCTGGATGAATTTGAACAAAAGATTATGTTCAATGTTCGCATTCGTACCGAACTGGTTTCCATTAAGGAAGTTCCGCTAGAAGTTATTAAAGAGCATATTAATCCCGTAACTATTAACATTTAATAACTAATAGTAATATTTTGATATGTGGTAACAGCATTAATAGGTACATAAGCGTGCAATATCTACTTTGGTCCCGCTGGTCTCGCTCTATAGCCGCACCTAATGCTTGTCGTCTCGGATAATATCCGTCCAAAAAAACCAATGCAATTGGTACAAGTGGGAAGTTTCAATCGTAAATACCGTGACGATTAACCTCTTTATTTGTCGTAAATAATAGATATTATTTCAAGCAGAAACCGTAACATGGTTTCCTATGATATTTTGTTATTTATTAATATTTATTTTGTATGCAACTGGATTGTAAACAAGCTGAAGTCCCGCCTGGTGGTAAATTGGAACTATCGCCTAAGTATATAATGATATCACGTCATCACATGACATTCATAGTACCCCAGTTCTATAATGTTAAGTTTAACCAAACCTAGTTTTACAGCCAGTAGGAAAATCTAAAATCATAATTTCACTATAAATCGTTTAAAATGACAAGCCCAATAATATAAATTTTATGGTTTCAAGCCTGAAGTAAACAAATATTTTTTATTCAAAATAAGGGCAAATCTTAATTTAAAATATAAGTAGCAATTTTAGTTTAAATTAAAAAATTTGTCATGAACTGTGAAGAATTATTTTTCACGACTATTTTCTCATCAGACTCGCATGAATACCATACCAAATGATTGAGGAATCCTTATTGTTTTCTAGTTCATTTAGACAGACACCTGACAAATAATACACAACTGTTTTGAAAAATATATTTGAGTTATCTCATTCACCTGAAACAATAAAGTTGTTTATTGTAATAATTATATGAATAATATTATAAGTATTATATTAAAATTTATTCCGTTTTGTACAAAATAAAAGACTGACGTCCAACCAAACTCGCTACCATTCTTGATAGCGAGTTTGGGTCTCATTTGGCTGGTCCTCTCTACATAACATGAGTTATTAGAGATTTATAATATTAATTATCTATCAACTTACGTATATTTTACCAAGTCCATTGTAAGGTACCAATCTAAGTAAAAATATAAGTAATATATTGGCATAGACGTAAAACGTGATAAATATCATGTTGATAACATTACCAGCACAACAATAGCATCTTACTACATTTAATTTTAAATTCATTAAAATAACAATAATATTTTTAGATGTTTTCCCAGGTAAACCCTATTTATTGGAATTATATTATTAATTGGAATCCTAATAGATAGGAATAATTAATTGATATGTTGACATGTATCGGTTCATTATTGAATGTAGTACAACAGAGCATAGTTTTTGTTACCAACAACATATTAGCATCCCACAATCAAATTAAACTAAATTATGAATTATTTTTAATATAACATTAACTCCAACATACAACAACTAAATAATAGTTAACAAATAAAATGCGGATATTAATTAATATCAATCACAATTGGTCACTAGTTATATAGAGACTAGTCATGACTCTGTGAATAAGTTCGGAACATTAACAATACAATAATTATGATTACAATTTGTTAATTATGGAAATTATGTATTAAAGTGGGAAAACTTTAGAGTTTACTAAGTTTTATTTTAAAATGAATTTACACTAAGCGGAATATGTGACCATATGTGAATAAAAAAATAGTTTTTTTATAGTGTGAATAATATGTACATGTATGTAAGTTCTATGAATAATTTTTTTCTGTGTCCAGCATTAGACTTTAGTACAAAATATCTATCCAGACTGGGTTTCATAAAAAAAAATCTAAATCTTACTCTCTTGTCTTGGGATCGTCTAATATAAGGTATGCAGGATTAGAGAATTTTGCAATTTGTAAATAACAAAATTTAGATTACCTTTTTTTTTTTTTATAACACAGGGGACAAACGAGCATGCGGCTCATCTGATGGTAAGTGATTACCGCCGCCCATGAGCACCCGCAACACCAGGGGAATTGCAAGTACGTTGTCGGCCTTTTAAAAAGGAATAAGCTCTTTTCTTGAAGGTTTCAATATCGTATCGGTTCGGAAATACCATTGCTGGAAGGTGATTCTACAATGTGGTTGCGCGAGGCAAAAAGTTTCTAGAAAACCGTACTGTGGAAGACCGCCATTCATCCAGATGATCAGGATGGTATTTCAGTTTCTGGCGGGTGGTACGGTGGTGAAACTCAGCAGCTGGTATTAATCCGAACAATTCCTCAGAACACTCCCCGTGATATATGCGGTAGAAAATGCACAGAGATGCAATATCTCGCCGCAAAGCCAATGGGTCGAGTCTGTCACATAGACGTTGATTACCAATGATTCTGGCTGCTCGGTTCTGAATGCGGTCAAATGGAAGTAGCTGGTATTGTGGTGCTCCGGCCCAGAGATGAGAACAGTATTCCATATGCGGCCGGATCTGCGCCTTATATAATTGCAAGCGATGGGTCGCCGTGAAATACCGTCTCACTCTACTGAGCACACCAAGCTTCTTTGAGGCTATTTTAGCCTTGTCCTCCAAATGACCGCAAAACTGAACGTCACTGGATATATCAACGCCAAGGACCTCGAGATTTGGCTTCACATCAAGGAGAGTGTCTTGAAACTGAGAAGATACGATAAATGGATTCTTCTTAGCGGTAAACGCGCAAACTTGTGTCTTCATGGGGTTGAATTGAACACAATTTTCCTGACCCCAGACCGAAACTTGATGGAGTGAAGTTTCGATTTCGGACACAAGTTTGTTCCGGTACTCTATAACTTTTGCCTGCGACATATTAGCATGGCCGCTGTACAAGGCATCTCCGGTACTGTCATCCGCATAGCAATGAATGTTGTTGATTTGTAACATGTCATTGATATGCAGAAGGAACAGAGTCGGAGATAGCACACAGCCTTGTGGAACACCAGCATTCACAGAGTGTGGGTCGGAGCAAGCACCATCGACAACGATCTTGATGCTCCGATCAGCGAGAAAGCTGGCGACCCATTTGCATAACTTCGCAGGCAACCCAAAGGATGGTAGCTTTGAAAGAAGAGCCTTGTGCCAAACCCGATCAAAGGCCTTCGCAATATCCAGACTAACAGATAGGGCCTCCCCCTTACTCTCAATAGCCTCTGCCCATCGATGTGTCAAATACGCTAGAAGATCACCAGCCGACCGACCCTGGCGAAAGCCATATTGACGATCAGAAATCAACTGGTTCACTTCTAGGTATCGTAGGAGTTGACGGTTGACAATCGACTCCATAATCTTTGAGAATAAGGAGGTGATGGCTATGGGCCTATAGTTAGCTGGATCTGAGCGTTCTCCCTTCTTAGGGATCGGATGAACCAAAGCCGTCTTCCAAAGTTTCGGGACTACACCTGTAGAGTAGCAGTACCGGAAAAGTCGCGTTAGTACCGGAGCCAACTCAGGTGCACAAGTCCTGAGCACAATAGCAGGAATACCGTCGGGCCCACTCGACTTGTGGATATCTAGGGAGAAAAGAGACTTACGTACCAGCTTTTGGGTAAATTTTACCTCTGGCATAGAAGTCTCACACCGCGAGATGACCGGCGGTGATTGCTCCGTATCGTCCAGTGTCGAGTTGGATGCAAAAAGAGACCCAAGGAGATCGGCCTTCTCTTTAGCATGTTGGGCCAACGAGTTATCCTCTCTGCGCAGTGGTGGAAAAGATGGCTGACAGAATTTTCCCTGAGCAGCCTTGGCAAGAGACCAAAAAGCCCGGGATCCAGATGGAAGACTGTTCAGTCTCCTACCAATTCTGCTGATGTGCTCCGACTTTGCTGTGACTATAACTCTTTTGAAGGACCTGGAAGCGGAGTTATACTTCCTTTTATGGGCACTGGTATCTAGATCACTCGACTTCACAGCTGCAATCCAGGCACGGAAGCATTCCTGCTTATGGCGAGACGCCGATCTACAGGATCCGCCATACCAGGACTGAGATCTACCACCGACAGGTACCTACTTATTTGTAATATAATTTTATAAAGTATAACGATATTGTGACATCGCAACTGTTACGACGTTGATTAAATTTATAGAATTTTTATTATATCTGATAATAAAGACATATAAGCCTGCCAAAACATTTTACAGTTAACGACTCTATCTATCTCTACTTGTTTCTATTTACCCGCCCGCCGCCGGCCAGCTAGGCGCTCGTGGGTGAAATAAAATATATTTTAAGACACTCGCTCCGTAAATATCTATACGAGGCCATGACCTCGAATGTTATGAAGAAAGCATTACTTTGCAAACTTTAGTAAACTCCTTCCATTATAAAATGTCAAATACACTTTTATGGTAATACTGTCTTGTGTATGTCCATCTATTGGATGTTTTATTATGAATAGTATATTTGTTATAGGACATAATCTCTAATAGATATTTAAAGTAGGTTAAATATGTGATAACTTTAAATTAAGTAATAGGTAAAATTCTAGCAGTATTAATACTGCTAGAATTTAAAGTTACATAAAGTGTTTGATATTTTTTAAAATTTAACCGACAAACACTCTTCATCCGTGATTAAATATGGACTAGGATTCAAATAGAATTAACCTGTATCTTATTAGGGATTAGGAAAAAATAATTATCACGTTCGGTACAAAACAATAACAAAGAAATCAATCCAATTGATAACTAGTGTAATGTAATGTTTCATTGACATAAGTCATATGGTAATGAAATGCTGTGCATCAGTGACTAGCAGTAGGTGCACGAGATGTAAGGTTCCGGCGGTGGCCCGGTTCACGATGTGACGGTCAGCTCGCTTATCGGCTGAGAAGTTGTCGATAAGGCGAGGTGCGCTCGCGCTGCCCGCCAGTGCCGCGAACGACGTCGATCCACCAACCCACCGCCACACGCGCTCCCGGCGCTTCACACTAGATTCGCACACGTTTTGCGACTATAAACAATATTATACAACTGCTATGAACCTAAACCGCGACAACCGGCTTGTGTTTAGTAAACTTCGGTGTTGTGACAAAGGTTGCTTTTACTTCAACTTGTGCTATTGAAGAGAAGCAAAGCGGAATAAAGGTAAGATAACTAAATAACATTTGTTAAAGCAGACGCTGAAAGTACAATGTCAACGCGAATATCAATTTGCGATTATACTACTTTTAACCGATTACGCGGAGCAGCTGTAACAAAATAAAAATAACACAGTTCAGCGACCGTTACCAGTCTAATTTGTTTGTTGACAAATCGTAAGACGTCACAGTAGCCTCTGATGTGGATGAGAATACGGTGCCAGCTAGCACCAAAAGGCATGTGCGGTGCGGTGCACTGGGCCGGAGCAAACCTCAGTTTATTTACTCTGACCTTTCTAATTTCTCTCACCTCCGTTACAATGTACCTAATACAAGAACCGACAGAAGTATAATATAATCAATTAGATTAGATTTTTAGTAATCCTTACCTACAAACTATGATACTTCTAGCTATGTAGTAAAATAAAAACAGTTGCAAATAAATAAATATCGGAATATCTAAAGTTAGTTTAAATTAAAATCAAACTTATGCCATAACAAATTATAAAATGTATTTGTAACTATTAATTTAAACAGTGTTCATATATTTATGTCAGAGGAAATTAAAATTATTACGCCTCCAATATAATAAAAAAATCCTTTGTTATTATAAATAATTTTCGTAATGATAAAATAAATTGTTAATAAAAAAAACATAAAAATTTCCTCATATTGCATGATTACGTAGAAAATAACAGTGTACATAAAATACATTTTTTATATTCTACCACAGACTCTACTGAAAATTTTATATATTTATAAGTAATTTACCTATTATGATGGTCTAGTGTATTCACAGTATTTTGCTTTTTATTTGTTTATTTTTAATTGTAAATTCTACATATATAATGATTTACCATTACATACTCCTAAACAAAGTAGTTAACTAATTAATTATTATCAAAACATAGTAATAATAGCGTATTAACGAGGTTTGTACACTAGGTTAGATTGTAAAATTTACTTATGGGCTCTGCATCAAAATTTTGACTTCGATCAGTAGTTTAGTTTACAGAAATAATACGTAATTAAGCAGATAGATATATCAGAATATTTCTCTAATACTCAAATAACCAAATTTGTAATCACAAATTTTTAAACCTGTGGTCCATCACGGGATCCGTTTAGATATCCATCTGTGGTCAGAGTAACGTATCATTATTACAGTGATACTGTATGTAATACTGTGTACATGTATACAGATCGAGATAAAAATATATCAATACGTAAGTATTATTATATTTTTTATTTGAATAATGTCCTCGTCGCACAATGGGAAGAATGTCTTATTGTGTGCTCTCTACATTAAGTGCGGTGACGAAAATAAATTCAGGTCAATGTAAAAACTGCTTTGATATATTGAATTCACTCCATTTTTATATTGAGTTCTTTATAAATAAAATAAGCATGTCTTCCATGCCTCAAAAACTATCAGATTGTAAAGAAGATGTTATTGTTCCTATTTCATTATACAAAAAATATTGATTATCGAATAATCCACTCACAATTATAATCTGCCTAGGCACTTAGGGTAAAATATGGATATGAATAACATAAGAGAAACTGTTTTAATGTTATAGAATTTAGTTAAATGGTAGACATTGTAGTAAATAGATGGATTCTATGGAAGAAGAAAGAGAATAGCTAGCTCCTAAATTATGGTTAACTTAAACAAAAACATATTCATGAGCTGAATACTGAGCAGTGTTTTCAGCTTAGATTTAGTCAAGCCCTATCATTTTTCTACCTAGATACAAGTAGAGAGACGGAGTAGCAACTATAATCATTGGATATAGAGGATATTGATCTTCCACAAAAAAATAATAACAGTAACACATAGGTCACTTAGAACTTTATTATCAGTATCACAACACAACCATAAAATATAACTTGAATTCCTTTTTGAATTAACCTCTTATATCTGGGTATTGACATACATAAATCAGATTACGCGCTAGATAACTACAAAAGCTCAGCATCTCACGTAGTTAATAGAGCTAAGATATTGCAAAAAAATCGACCTACCTGCCATTATATAAAGGTTTTATTGATCATTTACCGTTATTTATTTCCATCAACTACTATAGCAACGGATCTTTTGCAGTAAAAAGTTGTAAAGCCAAGTCTATCATTCTTTTACTTTTGACTGTCCATTACAAGTATAGGCTGCATAACTGTCAACCAATCAAAAGAATACTATGTAACTGGGCTTGCAACAAAATGTGAAGATGAAAAGACAGGTTCTATGAGTATATAGAGGATACCACTAGGGAATCCAGTTATTCTCAGTATTAAACATTAGAAAGATATTACAATATAAAAAAGGCATTAAGTAACCACATTCTGTTTACAGCACCTATAGCCTTGTTGCTATTATTTGCCTAATGCCTTCCTTAAATAGAAAAATAATTGATCCAGATTTTATGACGCAATGATTTGTTTTATCTCAAATTTTCTAACTTTTTTGAAGCGCATCTTCAAGTATTGGTATGTAGTATATACTTATATGCGTATGAAAATCAAAATAAGTCTACTAATAACTAATAACCTTTCTCTAATTCTGTATTATATATGTTTCATCATCTGCTTCTTTACCCCGTTTATTTGGTGTCGGCGTAATATGTTTTTCTCTTCCATTCATCCCTGTTCGCAGTCATCTCGTTATTTACTCGCTTTCTTACATTATTATTATGTTTATAAATACAAAAAATTATTTTAATACGAAAATTTCAACAATCGACGTATAATTTCAAATTCAAACAACAGTGTTCTTTTAATGTGCAGGTTAATTTCTATTTTGGTTAGGTAGGTACGTATAATTGAAATAGGTAAAATAATTAACTTCGAAAAATGCTAAAATTTTACCCTTTTAACATTTACTCTTTTTATAATTCACTATATTAATGACTAGATATTAACTTAAAAAAAGAAGAATCAGGAATACTGGACGATTTATGAATACTCTTACCGTTTTACAAAATAATAAAGTGAAAAGATTGACCACTTATTCATAAAGGCATGGGCATGAATGCAACCACATTACGTTAGTATGTAATAGACGGTCGTTTCAATTTAACTGTCGGAGACAACCGATTATAAGGCTGAGCGTCATCTTCCTCGAATAAAGGCGACTTATGTACCTACATCAATCTACATAAAGAATCAAGATGGCCATCGCATTAATTCTTAAATAACCTAATCGTTAATATTAGGTAAATCCAAAGTAGATATTTTTATGGCCGGATCAATCCATCAATCGTGCAATCCACCCGGAACGCATTATATTCCGTATGAAAAGCAAATATTGTTAATATATGTTTAATTAATCACATTTACTATTAGTTAATCGAGATTTGTATTATTTGTGCTTTATATTGTGTATTTTTTCTTTCTAAATTATTATAGAAGGTGCATTTTCTATGTGACGTGTTAATGTGATAGTTATCAGTATGTATGTCGCTTTGACATTAAATTGTTCTAATCTATGTGTTGTTGCTATCGAAACTTATCGAAAATTACGCAATATAATTTACCTATCGATAGATATAATAATTTTACAATATTCGCATATATACAATCACGATTAATATCTCGTCAAAAATTTCGGGAAAGAATTCCTTATGGCATGTTATATTGTCTTATATGTACTTATGGTAAACTAATAATGTTATATACTAACTTATTATATAGGAAATAAACATTTATAGGAATTAATATGAATTCACAATAGTAAACGGCGTATTAAAAATTAATAACAAAATATACAAATTTAGAGTACATTAGTACTTTTTATTATTAATGAGGGGTAATTTTCTAAGATTTTATCATAATTCTTCCAGCCATTTTTAAGTAAATCTTAAACTCACAAACAGATATACAGACAACTTTCACCTAATTACGATTATATATATATTGAAAGTAAGTTCAAATGCACAAGACCAGTATTTTAATCATATTTCAAAAAGTTATAATCAAGTCAAAACAGTTTAATGCAGTCTATATTTTTGTTTAATATATCACATTCACGTCGAACAGATAATAATACTGAACCGGTTTTCTAATTTTGTCAATAAGGAAATTTTTTGTGTGGATATAAAAATTATTCCATATTAGATTTGTTTACATGTATTTTTCCAATGTAAAAATCGGAAAAATCCGTGTATTATCACATATAATAATTCCACGGCCTACTAACTATAACTATAACTGTTCAGAAACTCTTTTATTTTTTCTGAATATCTACCCAAAAAAATACCTATTCATATCAATGTAAAACTTAAAAGAAAAATTAACAGTGAAATTTGTTTTCCATTGTTATAATATTGTTATGTAGGTATTGGCATTTCAGGAACAATTTTTAAAATTAATCCAGAATAGGTTGACTTAAAATATTTGAGAGCATTATATAAAGTAGTTTTAAAAGTTAAGTACATAAGTTTTAGCAAATATGCTAACTGCAATGCAACATTATCGTAGTAATTACCTATGTTATTTGTATAATTTAGTTGCTTATCACAAAACTCTATTTAGACGTAACGCAAATAACAAATAAAAAATAATATTTAAATTTATCACGATCGTAAATCCACTTTAAGCACAAACACTGTTCGACCTATATAGTTTTGTAATATGTCAACTAGTGATATCTTCAAATACAAACAGGTTTTATGGCGTATAAATATTGTTCCCCGTAGTTAACAGTGCAGGCAGTTCAAACTAAGTAAACCAGTCGATGCTCCCACACACGCCTCGTCGCCGACATTTACGAACAGCCGGTAGATCAAACCATAGACTAAATAACATAGATCAATCTTAGACTGGACAAAAGACTTATAGTATTTTTGTAGACGAGTTCTTAGGTAAGAACAATAACTACAGTTTTAATTATTATAACCCTGTTTTATATTTCGTTATATTTACATTTATTTTAAAAAGTTTATCATACGATGTATTTTTTATGTCAAACACAAAGTGACAAATACCGGTAAAGTTTATACAGACACTAGGTCTTGATCCCATAATTTGTCACCATAAAAATTTGTCACTTCTGTGATACAAACTCACACACCCATTGGTTTTACCAGGTGGACAACAAATAAATATGGCAATGAAAGAGTGGCTGCAATGGTTGCCACCACCACGTTCTCTACTGGCGTTGTTGTTGGCTATTGCTGGATTCAGCGGCCGACTGTTCGCTTCCCACTTCACACACTCGCCGACGTTACTTGTCGACACCTGTCACTCGCTTTGTCGACTAGTAGGACTGGTGACCACACTGCTAGCGTATAAGGTAACTAACACACACCGTTCTGAGCTATGTGTCCTACAACGACAAAATTTTATGATTTAATATTAATACTATAGTAACACATACATATTGAAGATAACTAAATAGATTTAACATACAACACAGAGCTACAAATAATTCAAGACGGAGCACTGTGTACAATAATTATAATATACAATGTATAATAAAATGAGTACTTATTTGTTTCGTATATCCCACTGCTGAGAAATGAGATAAGATACAGATAAACACGCATCATCATCATGACAGCCCATTATCGTCTATTGATATTCTATATCGTCTCATTATTGGGCACGAGCTTCTCTCTCTCTGTCTCTCGTCATGATAGGAGATTATAGCGAGGTAGACTTTGTACATACATTATAGTATTACTTTTTACCTAAAATTAACATTTTCGCACACTATTGACATAAAAACTCCTTGTTACAAATTTATAATCGTGTAATAATAATTTCTATAAAACTTAAAAGATATCTACATTCATTTTATTACCTTCTGCGTGACCTTTGCCATACACATTTCGAAGAAAAATATCCTTTTGACTTCAAGTAAGTATATTATTACAATAATAATTATACAATATACTTACTTGAATTATACAATATACTTACTTGAATATACTTACTTGAAATAGCACACGAACTGACAGCTGACCTGATGGAAAGCTGTAACCTTGCATAAGATTGAGAAGCACCACGGGTATCTCATCGTCAAAGGACTAATTGTATATTACGCTTTACTATTTCTAGGAACCAGGGTGCGTCTGTACCCTAATTTGACTAACATAATTCACTCATTGAACAGGAACAAAGCAATCTGCTGAAATAGAATAAAATAGCAAATTCTTTATAAAAAAAACTTAAATTTAAGCACTTTGCAATATCGGAATAGGTTTTAACACACGACTTTATACAAACAGAAATATTCAATTAAACTCAATACAAGCATGTATTCTCGTCGTATGATAGTCATATTTTTTTATTCTACCATTCATTCGAAATGCAGACTCATCAACATTTCATTCATTCATTCAAAAAATCTACAAGAAGAATAAGCAAGAAACTTGAAAACCGAAAAAGAACAAAGTGTACCTGGATCAATTAAAATTATTATTATTGAAGTAGGTACTTAATTTTTCCATAACAGTATGAAAGAGCTGACGAAGTCGCCGGAAGAGAGGGTCGTCTCCGTAACACATTCGGTTGGGCGCGCATCGAGGTGGTCGGCCGATTGTCCGTACACGTGTTGTTTGCGTCCTTTGCACTGGCGCTGGTGGTCAACGCGCTTCAGCTTGGAGTTCACTCCTCGCATGGACAGCCTCCACGGTACCCGAAGGTCATAGTGGGCTGCGCAGTGATAGGATTGCTACTCTACGTCATCAACTACATGCTGCTCGCTGGTTAGTACAGTTAGTATTCTATATTGTAACTATAATGAATACCAAATCAAACCACGCATACAAAAAAAACGAAGGGATTTGCTAGTACAGGGGACTAATGCTTCTCTTGCTAGCAATGGCGTCCGCTGCAAACACTATCCTGTATGAATAATTTTTGGTGAATTAACTAACTGATGGTTAACTGATTTCACTTCTTCGGTCTCAACCTTCAGTAATACCCCACCAGCACATACAGTTAGCGTTGACGGGTGTAATATTTCATATTCATAAATCTACACAACATGTAACGAAAACGAGAAGTATATTATATTTTGAATATAAGTACTTACTTAAAGCACTTAAAGGAAACTTTATATTTTTATAAATACTGGTCAGAATGATCTAATACGTTATGTTAGTTACGCCTTTTCTTCTTAATTACTAAGTACAAGTAATTTACTACTTGTACTTAGTAATTAACTTGTTTTTTCTATATTTTTAATCATACTCTAAGGTGTATACAAAATATTAATTAAGATTAAAATTTTGTAATTTGTAGAAATATAAATATTTATATGTTCCTGTAGCACCATCTTAATTCCATAATATGTAATGGAGGAATAAATTAAAAAGTCTTAACACTTCTGATGGAAATGGACTAAAATTTACCTATGAGTGTAATAGAAATTTGTTTATGCTATTAACCGCGACTTATGCTTGTAATTGATATCATCAATTACAAGCGTAAGTCACGGTTATTTTCAAACAAACCTTTCAAGTTTATGAAAGTTAACTGTGTGAAACAAAGCATTACAAGAACATTATGGCAATTTAATACTATGCATTGCATAGTATTAAATGCATTAACAAACAATACCGTTATCAATAGGCTAATTTTATATTATTTTCGCTACATTCATATAGTAGGCAATATTTTGATAAAAACATGTCAAGTGTAAATCGCGCTTGAAAGCCGAGGTTCTGTAAAATAAATCTATGCTAACATTTTATATTATCGTTGAATACTTATCATTTTTATCGTCATTATCGTTCAAACATGTATAGCCGATAGTTATTAAATGTGATTAGTATTTGCTATATTTCAGTTATAATTATGACTAAAAACCGTAGAATTCAAAGCGACGATGAGTGAGAACCTGTAACGTAACTACAGAACAAAAGAGGTTTTTTATAGTAATAACCTGCAAAAGCCTCTTTTGTTAGCTCTTACTGCTAGCTAAATACCTCGTCAGGTCAACTTCACAAAGTTCCTCCAGGAATCCATCAAATTGAAGTTTAAGTTACTTTTCGTAATTGAACGTTTTATTGCTTAAACTGAGTCACAATCTAAACTATAAAACGTGTTATGAAACATATATACAATGTGACATTTGTTTTATGTTTTGTCACAAAACAGAAATTCGTAACAAGTTTTCTATGTAACTGCCATTTTGGAAATACTGGTGACATTTTCACATATCAAAATCATGTTTTGTATATCTACAGACCCCATTTCATTAGCTAAAATGCCTTTTTATTCATTTTAGGCCGTGAACTCAGCTACAGCCGTCGGCTTAGCATGACCGAAGGTGGAGGTGTTGTTTTGAAGACTGGAACAGGCGAGCCTATACTTGCGCATGCACCCATAGATATCGCCAGTAAGTAGAAACATTTTAATATTTCGCTGACCTGCAAGACTAGGCCCCTCCATCACTTTGAGTCTTATCAACAAAAGAAATTCTCATTACTTCTTCTCTACAAATACACTCTTCAACTCTACGTTATATATTCTCAAATTAGAATTATTATTATTTTCATCTTAAATTAAAAAGTAAGCATTAAGGTTTCTATGGATTTTTGTTAAAGGTTGGAGGCTGCCATGTTCTTTTCTCTGTCCTATTTTGCTACATTTTATGATGATTGATTTGTCTAATACAATAAACGTTGATAAATCAACTACATTTTAGTGATTTGTATTCCAGTCAGCAGCACCCTGCTATTACGCGCGGAGTGTAAGAATTCTCGTCAACACTTACATAATAAATACCTGTAACCCAATTACAAATATTTATTTAACACTGTCCGTACCAAAGTGAGAACCTATTTATGATTAAACCTTCATACGTAATACACGCGTGACTTTAATATTAAATAAATAATGCAAGTAGGCAGCCAGGTACATACCAATATATATTAAAACATGAAAGAAATAATCATTTAATTGAGAATCTGAAAACTGCAGAAATGTAATATAATGATTTCTAAGATTGGGAACATGAAAAGTACATATGTTATACGTACCTAATTAGATATTTTAAATATCAAATTCTAGTAGGTGTGGTTGTGCTTAGTGGGATATGGGATTTATTCTACAATTCATTATTATCATTCTACTATATTTAAATAAAGCTTATTGGTGTTTAAACAATGGTTGCGTTTATCTTATTATTCCATGTAATAATATTATTATATCTATGTAGCCTATTATTCTATACAATCTATTTGTATATAATATTATGCTGTCTTATATTATTCTCACAATAAATTTATCCAAAAAGAGTAATAAAAAAGTCACCCGAATTTAAAATAAAGTATGTTGGTGAAATTAATGAGAGTGTGTAAAGACGTTTCGATGTTGGTTACTCAATGAACAATAATAAACATCAAATATCGAAAACATTATGACTTGAATTAAAACGTATGACAAAAAAACTAAATTTCTTTCACTTGGCGATCAAATCATTGTACAAAACACAGCTAGTATTGTGTATAGAAGCTTGTCTCAAAGAAATTATGTTTATCTTATATGAGAATGTACGTATACCTCAAACACTATGATGTATTACAGTACATAGAGAACTTGCTTTTTCTACATGATAATAATGAGCATGTAATTTACCAAGGATTTAATGGGAAAAAACCCAATTGAATCGGTAGGACATTAGATAGACTGTAGAGGTAATTGCAATAATAAACAGATTTTTTGTATCGATATGATGTAATGAAATGTGATATAGATAGTATATATTATCTACCAGGTAGCCTGTTTGTTATTGGAGCAGGCCTCACCTTGGAATGGGAACCAGAAGCAGCTCGAATCGCTGACCCTGCGCTTTCAGCACTCGCTGCTATAGTACTCGTCATCTTCAACTACCCTTTCAGTAAGTAACAAGAAAACACACTAAATTATTATTTTTCTATGTCCACTTATTATATATATATATTAAATTATTACTCAATTTATATATATGACCGGTGAGGGGAATGATGGGAGTGGGGGAATACGATTAGGAAGTGGAAGGCCCATTACTAGCAATGAGTGCACTATCTAGTTGATCTCCACACAGTTCATCATGATTTGACTTGCTTGCGAATTTATAATGATAGGCTATCCGATCTGACCACAAGGAATAGAATAGAATAGAATAGAAAAACATTTATTCAAATAAACTTAATTTAAGCACTTTTGAATAGTCAACATTTTTTTAAATCTACCGCTATTAGGCACATTGATTGAAGTAGAAAAAATATAATCCATCCCATTTAAAATAAGTATTGTTGCTAAGTAACAGTTTGTATGTAACGTGCAACTGCAATCGGAACGAAATAAATTATATTTACTACTATATATGTAGCCTTGGGTCGTCATGAGCGCACTGGAGCAGGCATACGTCCGATCAGAAGATATCACCACCCGCGTGATCGGGAAGTTACGCAAAACCCCTGAGTTAAGTTCTCCTGAATCACGTAATTTTCAATCTGTGACAAAAATAAAGTTGCTATCTCAACTTTCATTACTAAATGAAAACAAGCAACTACTTTATAATGTTGTACAAGATTACCTTATTAAGTCTCACAGTACTGTCAGAGCTAGCTACCCATGAGCTTTATTGCCGCAAAGATAGCATGCATTGGACAAAATACTTATATTTCAATGCCTTAAAACTATATGACCCATATGGCTTATTAAAGCTAATTGTCATTTCGGGTCGTATTGTATTGCAGAAAATATGTGAAATAAGTATTTACAGGGACTCTTCTAAGATATCTCATAATTATAATTTTGAGAACAAAGAGAACTGGTTCACTCAATCACAGAGTGCCACCAACATTCCGCGTGCCAGTATAGGTCCAACAGAAATTATTTAACATATTTAATTTTGGATATGTTTTTTGCTAGTAGTTCTATTGTTTACTCTTCTGTATATTGTTTTATATTATGTATGTTATTTAAATGTAGAGATGTAGAATGTCTTAAATGTAATGGATTAAGGGACCGTATTAGGCACATTGATTGAAGTAGAAAAAGTATAATCCATCACATTTAAAATAAGTATTGTTGCTAAGTAACAGTTTGTATGTAACGTGCAACTGCAATCGGAACGAAATAAATTATATTTACTACTATATATGTAATCCACTCAATATCTCTATCAACCGCTTATTCGGAAAGCTGTCTCATCACAAGAAGAATAAGCAAGGATATTGTGTCACTCTCCACTAGTGCCCAGGTACCGTATATCGTTGAATTAAGTAGGTTATACCATTCCATATTTATAAAAAAAAACGTTTCGACTAATTTTTATATATATAAAAAATAGTTATCCAATATATTGTTCTCCGTAACTCGTTCAACGCCACGTTACAAAAATTACCCAGCGAAATGTAGGCATGAGAAACTGTTGTTAGCCAAAAGTTTCCATGTTGTATAAATTAAAATCAGATATCCCATCTCGGATAACAGTCCTGAAAGTTTATATTGTTATAAAAGTTTCAAAGATTAATGAATGATCATTTAATAATCAAATATACTTTCTACAATTTTGAGCAAATAAATTATTATTATTATTATTATTACAGTGCGTTCGGCGGGCCTAGTACTTCTGCAGACTGTTCCCGAAGGTCTGGGCGCTTGTGAACTACGCGCGGCGGCTCTCCAGCTGCCCGGCGTGCTGGCGATTCATGAGCTCCATGTGTGGCAACTGCATCGTGACAAAGTCGTAGCTACAGCTCACGTCGCATACGGCTCACATAGGGTAAGGAAATTGTGTGCTGTTAATAATAATGTTTTTTTAAATAACTATGGACAATTCAGATACTATCTAGTCAAGCTGACGTATCTAAGTGCCAGTGTAGTTAATAAACAAATGAACCGACTTATATGCGTTTTTTTGTTTGAATGCTGGCTCAATTGTTTGAAATTTGGTCATTTACTTTTTAAAGTTTTTTTTGTGTTATACTTTAAATTTGTAATTACATTACTTGTGCAATAATTTAAAATCTATTTTCTTTTTCATTTTCCAGGATTATCAACAAAGTTCGGAATTAGTGTGCAATCTCTTCAAAAGTCACGGCATTAATCTAGTCACATTACAACCGGAATTCCCACCTAATTCTATTATAGGTAAGAGTTACAATGAGTTTCTTTTCTAATGTACCTAAATTAGAATAAAATGAACCTCAAATTATCGGACTATCTAACTCTAAGTGTCCACCGTCAGTTATATATACGAGCACAACGGATATCTCGTCATTTCCTTCATAACTGTTTGCCATTCTGGAGGACTAAGAAGTTATGACTCTCTGTACCCTGTAATTGAACTAATAAAAACAGGTACTTTTTATTACAAAATTTCTAAATGTTTTGTTTATTGCCGCCAGCATGTACGAAGTAAATTACTTAATTATTAGGACTTAGGTTTAGAAAGCTATTTCGTTGCTAATATCATAGTTTGAAGGTATTTCTGTATGTTACATATGGCGGAATAGTGATTATCATCGGATATCATAAGAAGCGCTCAGGGAAACAAAATATATACCAATATTTTACAAGCAGTGAAACAGTCATGTTATATGTAATAGTATGTTCATAGCTAATTTTATTTGCAAACTTCCTCATAAAAAAACTCTGCTCATTATTATATCGCCACAAGTCCTGTGTTTGATTTCTCTAAGATAATGTCAGCATTGCAAGTAGAGCAAATTAAATGTAACTACTTACATAATACTAATCAACTCGTACTCTATACAGGTTCGGACGAGGAAAAGAAAGCTTACATCGAGTTTGCAAACCAGGCGTGTGCAAGCCCTTGTGCTAAAGAGTGCACCGGGCGCCGCTGCTGTGACCCACTGTTAAGACCAACCGTTACACGAATATAGACGAATTATAACTAGATATTCCACCTCTATGTGTTCTTCGCTTTGGATACAATATCTGGCATAAAACAGTTTGCGACTGACCTACCAAAAGCAGTCAAGAAGTCTGCACTCTGACTAATTCACTGCGTGATTTGGATGTGTATTACGTCCCATATCTTATGTTCCCATCAATTTTATATTCCTAAATCGTGTCGTAACTATTTTCATAACCGAGCTCTTGGCACATCCCACGATCTTCAATGATGAAAGGTTATGGGAAGTGGCAAGAGCTCGACAAACAAAAGCGTGGCTCAAACATTATGAATGAATGGATGAACCATTTAACTTAGTTATTAATTCATTATATTATACCTATAGAGAAATAAGATAATTAAAACTTTAAGCAAGCATATCTATAGATTGGGAATTATTTGTGATATGATTTAGAATCGTAAACTAGATGGGATAGATGGGAAAGATATTACGTGAAGCTCCCTTCTTTAAGAATGCGGTAAGATCGCGAACACCGTCCTTATAAACATTGGGGCAAGTTTTTTATTTATAGCGTTTATTATCAAAGATTAATGCAGCATCTATCAGTAGATATAGATGCGTCCAAAGATACTAGTCAGTGTCCAAAAAATTCAACTGATTTAACAAAAACGTTGAACGGACTGTGTTCGTGTACCGCTACAAACGGTTTTCTAATCGAGCCTGATAATGACAAAGCCAGTAACAAGTGAAAGTGCAATGAATAGGCATGGTTTACGTTGCCTCATTATGTCACTCCGGTGCACCTCACGTGGCTGAAGGTAGTGTGACATGAAAACGAATACAATATGACATTGATAGAGATTCACTTTTGTAACTTCGGACATATTGTTGTCTTGACAACTGATATATAATCACCAGAGCAGTCATATGTACAGATATTCAGAATGAAACCGGTTTATACGAGTATTTTTTCCTCTTATTACTCCCTATTAACACCATAACTCCTGTTACCTTAATCTCAAAAATGATAATGTTTTAAGAATATTTGAAAGGCGATGCATAATCTATGCTTAGATTAGAACAAATGTTGTATGGAATATAAAATTTAAAATAATCTATGTCACTTCTGGATGTAAGTACATAAAAGAGGGGTATCGTAACCTCTAAAATTGTAGGTACATTGTACCTACATTAAAATTAAGAATAGTCCAATCATCACATGAGACTTTAAACGTGTGTTTTAAATTTGACGCGGTCATTATTTATACGTATAATTAGTAAAAATCACGGGATCTTACCACGTTTTATATTTATTTACTGAGTTCAATCACACACTTTTATTTACTGAGTTCAGTAACACTGCCGAAATATCGGGAGCTCAGTAAATAAATATAAAACGTGGTAGGATCCTGTGAATTATACGTTTAAAACGTGTACTTTTGAAACCTTCTAAACTTCCCAGAGAGGTTCAGAAAAATCTTGACTATAATTGTTTTAGTTAATTATTTTATCATTGATCGTGTATTTCTAAACAAAAAAGATGAATAATATTCATATTGTTAACTGGGCCTTAACACGAATAATTTTATGGTAAACATACGTATTTACCTATTTTTAACTACCTACATTCCAGAGTCAGCTCGTGACCACGAGTCGTAACATCGGGGGAGGTAAATAATTATATTTACGATAACATTATTGGTGTTAAGACCCTAAATGGCTCAATAATAGAGACGGTCAAAAAGATGTTAATAAAGATAACCTTAATGTTAAGTAATGGACGACCTCTTATAACGAAATGGTTACGATTAAACATTAAATTTACCTACATTTAATCTAGGTAGGTCAGCTCACTGTATATATCCATTACGGATCAAAACAACAATTAAATCTATTGGTATGTGTAATTATATCATAATTGTTTATAGACGGCATAATAACCTGTTAATATTTTCATGTCGTAGATATTTTATATATGGTATACAAAGCGACTGTGATGTTCCTAGACAGTATTAGGTATTCGAGGACAGCTAGATATATGATTATTGATTTAACATAGGCTAATAATTAATGACATATATAAGGATATAGGCTAAGTGTTATCTGTACAAAGTTATTTTAATAAATATATGAAAATAAAGTATTTAAATAATACACGCATATTATTTTCTGTCCTATATAAGTTCATCGTTTTGCATTAGTAAAATGCCGCTAGTTTGACATAGTCCTAAGTAAAACATAGTCCTATTGTAAATGGAAATTTAATAATATTTTATCAAGATATTCAATACGTTGTTTTTAAAATATTTATGCTCCTAACATTATACGAGTATAATATTAAAAGTGATTCTATAAACTAGTCAACCGTAATAAACAGAATAACAATATTTTAACAAACATAGTTTTACTATCTACCGAAGTGCAATGATATAAAGCAAACACCACTATGATGGTATAATGTAATTTATTTCAGCTATGAACTATAATAAGTGCTTATGAATATGAGAATGACAAATATTATTAATAAATACGCTACACATTAATATCATCAATGATTTCATGACTAAACATTGTATGTTTAGTCATCAAATCATTGATGTAGTCGCTGGTAAGTTACCATTAATTATTGTCTAACAATAATGTAAACATTCAGAGAAATTCTTGAGATAAATTCTTATTAGTGTTAAAACTATGAAAAATTTGAAGTTATTATTATTGGAATTTATATCCTGATCGATTAATAATTAGACTCATTTACCAGTACAAAACCGGTGATGCTTCGATGTGTCGATACAAAAAATGAGATATTTCTATTAATCTACAATAAAAATAACATTGGTCCTTCGAGCCGGAACAATAAATACAAATACTTTTAATCTTGACTCCTATTACAGACTTATAGAAATGCATTTTTTATATAAACGTTCTTCCAATTCTTTGTACTGATAAATTCGATACCTACAAGAAAAACCTCTAACAATGTACTTACATATGTTTTGGTAATATAGACACAAAATCTTAAAGATTAAACATTAATCATCTTCATAATTCAGATGAACAGATGTGGAGTCGTCGGTGGTGTTGTCCTTCTGACATTTCGCTGGACGACAGACGCGGCTTTTCATTAGTTTATGACAAGCTTTTCCATTTCCAGAAGCCCGGCGCTAAAAAACAATTAACCAATAGAATAGAAGAATTGAATTTAGTTATTACGGGATTTTGTTTAAGATATCCTTGCAATAAAATTATCAAGACATACTCGGATAATAAAAAAAACTTAATTTACAGTATTTCAAAATTATTTGTTGTTGGATAGGGTATGCTTGAACTTATTTATATATACAATTTTGTTTTATTTAAAAAACTACTGATATAACATTTCAATTCACATTGCAAAGAGGATAAATAATGTAGATACCCTGGGTGGGCTCCACCACCACTCCTATATATATTTTTGGTATGTTTTATGGATAAAATTAATTTGCCCATTATAGACGGTGCCAAAGTCCGTAAGTTTAAAAAATTTACGGTTAAGATGAAATAAGTTTAGCATTTTGGTCTTTGGTCATCTACATTTTAGGTACATTTTGAAGAAGTCTTTACAATATAAGACGTATAGAATGCTTGGAATTACAATATTTCTTTCTGGTAAGAGAAAAAAAAATCTAAATTTCAGATCATCTTAAATCAAATTAAGAAAAAGATTTTTTCTTTTAATCGACAGCTTATTTTCTTCTTCTAGATACGGCAATTTGTGTTACCATTAGCCATTTTACAAATCATACTCAGATGATTAAGTAAAATAAACATTAATTAATGCATAAATTAATAAACAATTAAATAAGTTTTAATAAAATATTAAATTCAAGATTTTCAAATTGAAAACTTCACTTTGGATTGAGAATTCACGTATTTATAAAATGTTTTTATTAATTAAATCTAAATATGTTTATTATACGGTTAAAATATGGGAAAGCATTAATAGTTCATGTAATATATAAATTGTCATATTTGTGATATAAAAACGTCTGTAGGTGAAGGACAGTAAAATTACCGGGGAATAATAAAAATAATTAACAACCAAAGGTAACATAAAAGTCATAATATGAGTAATATATATTGTATCTGTAATTCTACTAATTTGTCTATTCTATACACAATTACTCTCCAGTCACATAAAAATCCATAACCTTTTGTGAATTCTGTTATAGGTGCTGCCTATGAGTTAAACACCTTTAAACTTCGCACAGCCTTCACTGCACTAATGTATACTAAACTCACCAAAACCAATCGATAGTTGAGTTCGACAGCGAAGCCACAATCCCCGATACAGTCGCTCCAACCGAGCCATGGACCCGTCTCGCAATTCGCGTCCTCTACTTAATGAATAATTGAAAAAAAAAGGTCACATAAAAAATAATACGAAATATTAGAAATAAAGATAGTTATAAAATCATTTAAAGTATAGTCATGCGTCCAAATAAAGAAATATACTTATTTTACTTACAGAAGAAGTTTTACATAAACGTTACGACACATAATAAGTAGATACAGATAATGTATGCTATTGTAACGTACCTTCAGGGGTAGGCACATCATTCTGTATCACTTCATTATCTTCGTACGATGGCATTTTATTCTTTTTTGTGCTCAATTCTGTGTGAGAACTCGCAGCTGAAGATAAAAAATCGTCATGAATAATTATGTAAATGTGTTTATCATATGTTTGATATTCTATTTTCTTTTTGAAACTCGAATTCCGCTTTCAAAGCAAAGTCAACCTAAAGTTAAGGCATTTTTTGAGTCAAAGGTAAAAGTAAAAAATGTGGACTGTTGTACCATGTCAGCTTGACCTCCACGCGGTTCCCTCTGGAAGCCATCATGGTATATTCCTTCCATCATGACAAATCACCAGCTGATCATTATCACCATCATATGAACATGAGGTCTGACCTCATGTTCGTATATTATATTATATTATTTACACTCCTAAATTATATTTAGTATACCGTTCATAATTAAAGACCTAATTGAAGTTGTTATCGTTTTATTCATTTTAGTCTTCATTACGTTTTAAAAGACCTGTACACCATCTTTGTACTGTTCTTTTGAAACCTAATCCAATTATTGGATTGACATCAATTTTAAGATGAGAATCCAGAGTCGACCTGCAGATTGCTGCGTTTTCTTTTTACTGTATCTACGCGTGTAAATATGCATTTCATATCATAAATAGCTACCCGCCCAGGCTTCACACGGGTATATATGTAATATACATATAAGCATCCCTCTTAAATCACTCTATTTATTGCTATAAACGACATTAAAATCCGTTGCGTAATTTCAAAGATCAAAGCAAACAGACAGCGGCAGCGACTTCATTTTGTACTACACATGTAGAGACTGGTGATACCAAAACGAAACAATTGGGAAATTCTCATGTAATTACATATATGTACATGTAGATTATGTACAAAAACAAAACACAATGAGCCAGTAAGGTGACGACTGTAAACATCGTATTGATACTTACTAGTAGTTGGGGTTGCTTGGGTGACAGTAGATTGAGTAACAGGAGATTGTGTAGCAGTAATTTGGATGACGTTAGTTCGGGTCATGTAAGTTTTGGTAATGTTCCCGCAGACGCGCAGGCAGAGTTCTCTGGTACGGAAATTGTTAGCGTTGCCACCACATCCGGTGAATCCGAATGGCTCGCAGGTGTGGGTCTCTATGTCGTAGAACCAGCGCTCGCTGTAACTGCGGCATGGTCCCACCGACAACGGCAAATAGCACACCGCTAAAGTAATAATAATTATATTGTACAAATACATACTTTGTTAAGTCATTTTAGGGTAACAGTGTATAAATGTCATCAATGATCATAAGAAAATAAGAAGACTAATTCGTCATATTTTGCTGCTAATTTTAATTATTTAATATATTAAATATTTTTGTTTAATATTAAATAATTATAACGAGGAGCAAAATATCAATAATTAGTATTCTTATTTTTGTTATTTATTACAATATTATTTCAAATGTTTTTAATTTTTTTTTAATTTAAAAAATATTATGGAATACACAAAAGGTAAATACTTCCTATTTAAATAAACTTAATCCTAAATTAAGAAGATTAAGTTTATAATAATCAATTGAAAATGGTCACAGATAATGTATATATGATCTAAGTATTTACAAAAAATATACTAAGTATTTTTATTAGATGTTTAATACCCATAGGCTCTGTATTCAGTATGAGCAACACGCAAGTTTCATGCTCGTTCTTCTTGTGATGAGTCTGCATTACGAATGAATGGTAGAATATAAAAATGTAACTATTCAAAAATGCTTATATTAAGTTTATTTGAATAAAGATTATTTCTATTTCTGCTTAGTTTTGTACTAGATAGTTCTGTATGAATTGTCCTAGATTATTATTATTATAAACAAATCATACCCGATGTAATAGTCTGATTACAGGTGATGTCTTCTCCATCACAGAGAGATTCCTGTTGAGTCAACGTGAACTGGCATTTTTCTAAGTGTTCATGAACTAGTCTCTCTACCTCCAGATCCTCAGCTGTGACATTCTCCCGTGGGGCACTCTTTTGAAATACAAATAATATTATAGTCAGATGTCATTGTAGTTGTAAATCATCTTGACGTAGTATTATCCTAAATCACACTTTAAGAGTAGTATCTCGACGCTCCTTATAGTACGGTGCGGTAAGCTAAATAATTTTTACTAAAAACTATTTTATTAATATGATTACCTAAATTACTGATTTTTCTTATTATAAAATGAAACACCGCTGAATCTAGGAAACTGTATTTAACAAAAGTACAATTAGCGCCATCTAGCGAAAAAACACAGAATTATTCCCGACATTCCGCCCACCAAGAACTCTGTTCTTCATATGTGGGCCGCCCACCATAGCAGAGTTATTTATTGGAATTTTGGGAACGGAATAAGTTTTGAAATAGGGCGTTTTAGCGTTGAATTTTTACATTTGAGTGTCACAACTCTCACATGTCCATCTGGACCAGTGTGCTTGTGTAATATACGCCCCAGTAGCCACTTAGTTGGGGGCAAGTCATCCTTTATAATGACGACATCATCTATCTCCGGAATTTGGTTCGAATTTTGCCATTTATGACGTTGTTGCATGGTGTGTAAATATTCTCTGGACCATCTGCGCCAGAATTGTAACATTAATCTTTGTGTTAATCTCCATCTATTCAAAGGACTAATACATTTTTCATCCTCATCATTCTTCTCAGGTATGCTAATTAATGGTTCACCAACAAGAAAATGTCCAGGTGTAAGTGGTGCAAGATCATCAGGATAATCGTTGAGCAAACAAATAGGTCGCGAATTGAGACAAGCTTCGATTTGATGTAACAAGGTTGTCATTTCCTCGAAGGTCAGTTTTGAATCGCCGATTATTTTAATAATATTTGTCTTAAGTATTTTAATTCCTGCTTCCCAAAGCCCACCGAAATTTGGTGCTCTCGGGGGTATAAAATGCCACGTAGTGCCATCATTACTGAGTAATTCGGCAACCTCTTTTAATACGCCAATCATGGCTTGGTTCAACATCTGTGTAAGTTCTCTTGCAGCTCCAACGAAATTCAAGCCATTGTCACTGTATAAATCGGAACAGTGACCTCGACGTGACACAAATCTTCTAAAGGCAGCGATAAAACCCTGTGAAGTAAGGTCACTTACAGCTTCAATGTGGACTGCTTTTGTTTTCATGCAAATAAAGAGACACAAATATCCCTTGTAAGCCTTTTGGCCTCTACCCTTGGATGCTCTCATTTGTATTGGTCCAGCAAAATCTACTCCGCTGGTCTTAAAGGCGCGTCCTGGTTGAACGCGAACGGCAGGTAGTTGACCCATCTTAGGTTGTATTGTCTTGCCTCTATATCTTAAACAAACTGTGCATTCTCGGTAACATTTTTTTACTAATTGTTTTAAACTAATAATCCAGTAGCGACTTCTCAAATAATTTATGGTAAGGGCAACACCACCATGTAATAATTTTAAGTGAGCATCTCGTATAATTAAAATTGTAAGGTGAGTATTATTGGGTATAATAATTGGATGTTTGTGTTGTTGTGATAACTGAGAAGCTTGTATTCTTCCACCTACTCGTAGAAGACCATCAGTATCAAGGTAAGGTGATAAGAAATAGAGTTTACTTCGTTTTTTGATTTTTCTATTTTGTTTTAAATCATTAATTTCTTCTAAAAATTCTTCTTGTTGTACCATTTTTATTAATGTATCTAAAGTTATTCTTAACTCTTCACTAGTTAAATAAGTGTTTAATTTCATTCTAATATCTTTTTTTGTTTTCAGGTGCAGTAAACGACGACAATAGCTGAGTACCCGAATCATTCTGGTAAGTGTTGAAAATCTGTTCCAGATCGGTTCATCTTTTTCACATATGAAAACCTTTGTATGTTGTTTTCTTTCTTCTAACTTTGTTTCAGGTATTGTTGTCATTGACTTCTGTGAAATTTCTTGGCTTAACCAAGTGGGACCCTTCCACCAGGTTTGTTTTTCTTTTAATTCAGATGGATTGACACCACGTGACGCGATATCAGCAGGGTTCTCCATAGAATTTACGTGACTCCAACATTTATTGTTTAATCTGGTTTGAATTTCTGTAACCCTATTACCTACAAATGTTTGCCACTTTGTTGGCTGAGATGCAATCCAAGCTAATACTACCATCGAGTCAGTATAAGCAAATATGTTACTACTGGATATTTTTAAAGTATTTGCGGCTTCTGCCAGTAGTTTTGAAAGTAGAACGGCTGCACACAACTCCAGACGAGCAATGGAAATCTGTTTTAGTGGTGCCACTTTAGTTTTACTTTCTAGTATAGTTACAAAAATATTATCTCTGCTAACTACCCTTACATAGACCACAGCTGCATATGCAACTGTGGAAGCATCTGCAAATCCATGTAGTTCAACTCTTTCATTTTCTTGGTAAGTATGAATCCATCTTTCTATGTGTATCACTTCTAATTCTGGGAGTTGTTTTCTGAAACATAACCATTCTTCTTTCAGGTTTGTTGGTATATCTTCATCCCACCCACATGTACAGAGCCATAATTTTTGAATTAATATCTTAACCTTTACTATAATTGGAGATAGCCACCCGAAGGGATCAAATAGGCGTGCCACCTCAGACAGAATGCTTCGTTTTGTTATTGTATCTGGTACATGAGGTAAGTTAATGTAAACTTTGAATTTGTCATCTAATCTGTCCCAAGAAAGTCCCAGTATTTTAATAATTTTATCAAATTTAATCTCCAATGGTTTTATATTTCTTTCTTTATTTTGTATGATTTTATCTAATAATTTGTCAGAGTTACTGGACCACTTTTGTAATTCAAATCCAGCACATTTCAGCAACTCATCCAGTTGTCTATAAATTTCCATCGCTTGATGTATATCATTAGCTCCACTCATCAGGTCATCCATATAAAATGATTTTTTTTTTACAATTTCAGCGGCTAAAGGAAATCGATGTCCTTCATCTTCTGCTATTTGTATGAGAGTACGGACTGCCAAAAATGGTGCTGCAGCTGTACCAAAGGTTACAGTAAGTAGTTTGTATGAGGCTATATCTTTATGAGGGCTTTCCCGCCACAATATTCTTTGATAATCTGTATGTTTGTCTGTCACCAGCACTTGACGGTACATCTTCACAATATCACTTATGAGTACTATTTTAAATGTTCTCCACTCCATTAATAGTGTTCGTAAGTCTCTTTGAATTACAGGACCAGTCATCATGGTATCATTAAGTGAGTATCCCTTGGATCCCTTAGCCGACGCGTCGAAGACGACACGCAGTTTTGTAGTATCTTTGTCTTCTCTAAGTACAGCGTGATGCGGTAGGTAAATTGCATCATCAATATCTTCGGAAGCTTCTATCATATGTCCTAGTTTGAGATACTCATTGATCACAGTACTATATTCTTGTTTTAATTTATTGTTGTATTTGAATCGTCTTTCCAGTTGTAAAAATCTAGAAGTAGCTATTTCTTTAGTTTTACCACACTTTTCTGCTGGCTCTACATCTTCTCTAAAAGGTAAATGCACCTTATATCTACCAGATTCCGTTCTTATTGTAGTTTGTTTGTATAACTCCTCACATTTCTTTTCTTCTTGGGTAATTTTTCTTTCAGAGGTAAGTACTTCGTTTTCAATCTCCCAAAATTTTTTCAGTATATCATTATCACATATACATACATGTAAATTAGTTAATTGTTTTTGTGTTTTAGGTTGTGTGTTGCTAGTATCACCAGATAGAATCCAGCCCAGATGTGTAGATTGTGCTATAATGGACCCAGATGGACTTTTCAGCAATCCGACATCTATGATTTTGCTATAGACTTCAGCTCCTAGCAGTAGGTGTATTTTGTTCGGAATATTAAACCCTGGATCTGCTAGTGTTATGTTTTCAAGGGCAGGCCAATTAGACATCGTAACTTGCTGTGTAGGTAAGTAGTTTGTGATATTGCGTAATACATACGCTCTAATAAGGATAGTGAAGTTTGTTTTCAGTCTTGATCGAAGTTCAAGCTGTACTGTATATTTGGTTTGTAATTTTATTCCTCCACTCAATCCTGATACCACGCCGCTGGTTTTCTCTCTTTTCAAACCCAAGGTCTGAACAAGATCTTCTGACACAAACGTGGCTTGAGAGCCTTGATCAATGAGAGCACGGTAGGTGTGTATATTACTATGACTTGAAGTCACATCCACCAGTGCAGTTGCTAATAAGATTTGACCAGGTTGTTTTACAAAATGTGACACTATGTTTGTCTGATCTTCATGACTTTCACCTCTTACAGGTTCCTTTCTTTCAGGGTGTAACAATGAATGATGTTTCTTCTGGCAAACACGACATGATGTTTTCCGTAAACATTTATTTACAGAATGATTTGGAATCAAACAATTGAAGCAAAGTTTGTTAGTTTGTACAAAGTCTGTTCTCTCTTTGTAACATAATTTTGCAAACTGTTTACACATATATATGTAGTGATCACCTTTACAATATGAACAAATTATTGTTTTGTTATCTATTGTTGAATAAAATGTCCTTGGTTTCAATATTTTATTTGATTGTTCTAACATTTCTAATGATCTGAATCTTGTTTCAAGAAATAATTGCAATTGGTTAAATGTTGTAAACTCTTGGTCTGGTGAAGTATGTTGCTCCCATAGCCGACGACTTTCAGGATCTAATTTAGTGACTGTCATATAGACCATAATGCTATCCCATGACTCGGTAGGCAAACCGAGATGTTTCAATGAGTTTAAACATTCAATGGTTGTATCAATCAGTTGTTTTATATTAAATGCAGATTCAAATGATATATTTTTTAAATTAAAGAGTTTCTTGAAAATACAATTTGATAAATACTTCTTGTTATTATATCTATTTTTCAATGTAGTCCAAGCTTGTTCATAGTTTTGACTTGTTATAGGTATACTTCTAAGTAACTGTTCGGCTTCACCCGTCACAGATGTTTTGAGATAATGAAGTTTTTGAACATTGTCTAGGTTCTTATTTGAATGGATTAATGTATTGAATAAATCATGGAAGGATTGCCAATCCGTGTATTTGCTTGAAAATATAGGAATTTTGATAGTCGGTAAGGTAATTTCGGTAGTTTTAAGTTGTTTTTCTGCTGGTTGTTTTTCATTCTTACGGTGACAATTTTTGTATTTCATTTCGTAAATCTCCCTTGTATTCGATATATATTTCTTCACATTGGTTGTAAATATCATTCTTAAAGTATTCAATTTCTTTACGTTTTTCCCTTTTAATTTCTGCAATTAGTTGATCATGATCGGTTTTAAATGATTGCCATGTCTTGTCTAAACTTTCCAAACGCGTTTCTAAGTAGCTCAATGTAATTCTTTGTTTTGGACTTTTGTGATAATTTCGTTGTCCCTTAGAAATTTGTTCACATCTTTCTTCTTGTACGTTAAGTAATTGTAATATTTTCTCCATTGTTATCAAATAAATGAGACGGAAATGATAAGTAGCACTAAGTACACAAGTTAAAGTTTTCGATAAATTTACTAAGTTCAATATTAACAACACAAATTGTTCACAAGTCCCAGTTACACTAAATTGTAATTTGTTTTTATAGTAAACGGTTTTAAATGTTTTAATATGAATACACTATTAAATCACAGAAATGTTCAATGTCCAAATTGTTTATTTTTCGTAATCTTTTTTCACTATAGTTTTTAGGTTAGGAAAAACGCATGTCAACTTAGTTCGATATTGTTTTTTTTCTTTGACACTAATTATGACTGACACTTGCTTGAGTATAGGAGATTTTTTTAATTAATCACATAAGAACATCCTTCTCGAAGGACCACTATGATTACCTAAATTACTGATTTTTCTTATATATGAAACACCGCTGAATCTAGGAAACTGTATTTAACAAAAGTACAATTAGCGCCATCTAGCGAAAAAACACAGAATTATTCCCGACAAATATTATTTATATTATATATATAAAATTATCCGAGTTAACAATAACAACCCTCGGGTCGATCTCTCGTTTAATGTAAACGGAGATGGAACCCCTAGTGGTACTCTCAGACTAAAGTCTAAAGTATATACGCAGGAATCTACCTTCAGCTGCTGTAAATCCTTCCGCGAGTATAGAGTAGGGTAAGGTTGCTCAAGTCGTACCATGGCCTAAATCGTACCCTGGCAATATTTCGTCTGATACATATAAATTGCACCATCTGGTGTCGTTTACCTGAACTATTTAGTCGAGCGAACAAACGCAAACAAGTGGATCGCTGGGCGGCTTCGTGAAGCAAAAATAATTAAATAGTAAGTTTTTTTAACAGTTTTCATTAAAATTTTTGGCTCATTTCTAAGCTTTTTAAGGCAGGAATATGATGCTTACTTTTATTCTTTGTTAAAATCTATTTTTAATACTTATCTGACAATCGTTTAGGCATATACAAAGTGTAGAAGTTTTATAGGTTATGTTAGTGATTTTAGTTTTAAAGTTAGGCTATCCCGCCGCTTAAGTCGTACCTGTACAAGTTTCCTTACTCGTACCGGTACAACTTAGGTATTAAGAAAATGTTTTTTTGTTTTTTTTTGTAATTTACTTTACTTTTTATTAGGTAATAAATATGATGAAGAGAAAATACAATACTTGGAAGCAGGAGGATATGGACGAAGCTTTAGAGAAACATCGAAATGGAGAAATAGGGTTCAATGAAGCTTGTAGAAGATTTAAAATACCAAAACCTACACTACGACGACATTTGAAAGGATTGAACAAAAAAACAAAATTTGGACGACCTAATGATATACCACCAGACATGGAAAAGATATTAGCACAACATTTGATAAATTTAGAGTCTTGTTTTTTCGGATTAACTACCACTGAATTCAGGAAACTTGCCTTCGATCTTGCTGAAAAATGTCAACTACCTCATCGCTTTAACAGGGAGAAAAAAATAGCAGGAAAAAAATGGTATTACAGGTTTATGAAAGAGCATCCTGGTTTATCCTTACGTGTTCCTGAACCAACATCGATGGCCAGAAGTAAAGGGTTTAATAAAGAGCGGGTTAATGAGTTTTTTGATAAGTATGAAGAAATTCTAGATAAATACAAGTTTGCTGCACATCAAATATATAACATGGATGAAACTGCGTTATCCACCGTTCACAAACCTTCCAAAGTTATTGCTCAAAAAGGAAAACACCAAGTGGGTGCAATTACAAGTGGAGAAAGGGGTCTGACCACAACTTGCATATGCGCGATGAATTCAGCAGGCGAATTTATACCACCAATGTTAATATTTAAACGTAGCAGGCTGAATGATGCTTTAAAAAAAGGAGCTCCACCAAACACAGCATTTGGTACTTCGAAGAATGGATGGATAACATCAGAACTTTTTGTTAAATGGCTTCAACATTTTATTAAGTGTACAAGATTAGAAAAAATCGACCAAAAACAAATATTGCTTTTACTAGATGGTCATAGTACACATACAAAAAATTTAGAAGCAATCCAGATGGCTCGCGATTATGGCATAGTAATGCTTTCATTTCCTGCTCACACAACACATCGTCTACAACCGTTGGACAGATCGTTTTTTAAATCATTGAAAAGCTGTTACAATGAAGCAGCATCTTCATGGCTACGTTCAAATCCTGGTAGTGTCATAAAACAAGCAAACGTTGCAGAGCTGCTTGGAAAAGCATACCCTAGGTCGGTTCGTATGGATATAGCGCTTAATGGTTTTAAAGCAACAGGGTTGTGGCCGTGTGATAGAAATGTCATTAAAGAAGAGGATTTCGTAGCCTCTGTATACATCTCTGATCCATCAAATCAAGAACTTGGTGATTCAACTGAACCAACTAGGGAATCACCCGCTAGAGCCACATCGCCATCGATTTTAACATCATCAATAGTTGCATCGCCTCCAATAAGGGCTGTATCTCCACCAATCTTTTCATCACCATCATCACCAAAAATTATAACGCCGCCTTTAGCAACTAGAGAATCAACACCACCCAACATTCAACCGGAACCTTCTACAATATCACAAGATACTTCACACAATGACGATAATTTAACAGTAGATAATCAACAAATAAAGTCTCACTTGAATATTTTATCTCCTATACCTTGCATAAAAACAGTCATTAAAAAAATGAAGAAAGGTACTAAGCCAACAATGGAATTAACTTCAAGTCCATATAAAAATGAAATCGAAGAAAAGGAAAACATAATTAAAAGGAAGAAACCTGTACTAGATAGGAAAAAAATTAAAATAGAAAAACGAATAAATAAAAGTCTAAAAGGAAGAAATACTAATGAAATATGCAAAAAGAACAAAAAAATAAAAGCTAAAGAAACGTGGTTATGCAAACTATGTAGGGAAGATCGAGAAGAAAACATGATCCAGTGTATAAAATGTAAAGGTTGGATACATGATCTATGTGCAGGCGTTGAGAGTAAAGTAAAGAAATATATTTGTGATATCTGTGTCCAATCTCAATAATTATCTAAGCATTACTTTTTTTTCAAGATGTTACCTATAATTTTATTTTCTGTGTGTTATTTACTTAGTAATTAGGTTTGATTTTGTAACAATAAGTGTTTTAAGTTGAACTCAGACTGAATTGTTTCTATTTTTTTAGTTTTTCATATGATCTCATGTTATTAAGTATTTTTCTATATAGTTTATTATGTGTTCATTGAAGTTTATTTTCTAAGTACGACTAAGGCTATAGGTGTTACGAATTAGGCGACTAAGCGCTTTAATCGTACCGAAGGTATGTTTTTTAAAAACGTTAAAATACCTACTTTGTTAAAAAAAATCCAAGTTTCTGTGATTGTTGATTAAAAGCCAAATAAATAAAGATTCACAAAATGCATAATATTTTGTTTTATTTCAATTGCAGTGAATATTATAGTATTATTTCCTTAGGGGGTACGACATAAGCAACCTTACCCTACCATCTGCCACTCGCCCCCTATCGATGAAGCTGTAAAAGTCAGCTGTGGCCAAAATAATGAAGTATTAAAGTTCGAAAAAATAGAATGGTTGGTGACATACGACATTCTATAGAAAGGCGAAAATGCCCCGCCAAAGTGCAATCAGTATGCGCGTGAGAAATGGCTGTAAGCGTTCCTGCACCAGGTAGAGTCGCGGCCAAAAGCATTAAGTATAATAGTTCGAAAAAATTGAATGGATGGTTACATACGACATTCTGTAGAAAGGCGAATGTGCCCCGCCAGCGCGCTATCAGTATGCGCGTGAGGAGTGGCTGTAGACGCGCCTGCACCAGGTAGAGTCGGTTCCGCACGCGCCGCCCGCGGCCGCAGCGCTCCGAGCACGGTGACCAGTTACCCCACTGCGTCACCTTGCACGCGCCACGCGTCTCGTCCTTGTGTTTTTTTAGACTATAAACAACTAGCTGAGCCCACGGTTTCATCCGCGTGAATATAATCTATTTGTTATAGTAATGTAGGTATAAGCTATATTATTGTAAAGTTTCATTAAACATATTTAGTAGTTTTTGCGTGAAAGAGTAACAAACATTCATCCACATTCACAAATTTATGTGTTTATAATGTTATAGAAATATCAGTAAGATTATTGCATGAGGTAACATTCTCAAATACCAAATAGATAAAGACAATAAATCATATATAAAAATCTATAGTATTGACTGCCTCAGTGGTATATCGGTGTTTACTTCCCAAGGTTGCGAGTTCGATTCCTCGCACGGTTCATACATTTGTATTTATGTGTATGATTGTTTGTACAGTCCTACATCTTTTCTATGTATATTATACATATATGTATTTACAAAACAATGTATCTGAGTATTTATATATGTTAAAAAAGGTAACCAGAGCTTGTGTTAATGGTACTAGACCCATACCACAAGCTCTGCTTACTTTTTTTAATAACTTATAGTCTTATAAGGCTAAAAGAAGGCCCAACATCGGAATGAGACATATTCCCTGTTCCGTTTGGCTAAACGTGTCTTACAATAAATGTTTTTATATATTTCTATTTAGCTATATCTTCCACACAGTTCTTCCACCTGTCTTCAATCATCGTAACGAATCGTCTCCTTCCTAATAAGAAGTGAGATCAAAGATTATGAAACTTCAAAATATTATTCTTACCCTAAAGAACCAATCCAGGACCGAAGCGTTGACATAAGTTGCAGTCCGTCTACAAACAGAAATTCAGACAATTTATTCATTTGCTTTTAAATACCACATTTATTGTAACGAAAATATTAATGACTAAGAGACACATAGTCTACTTCAAATTTCCACAAAAATAAAAAAAACTTTCATACAGTATTGTTTATAAGTGCACCCACACATTTTAGGATTAGCCCCGAGTCTTGATAATTACCCCTTCTTATCTTTATCAAAAAGCCATCAAATTAAATTTCATCAAAATAAATTTTCATTAAAGTATAATTAAGCAAAAGTGGAATTTTTTTATAGTACATACAATTTTTCCACTTTTGCTTAATTATACTTGAATGAAAATTTTAATATGTTACTAGTGCAACTAGTACAAGCGATTTTTGAATGAGTTAGACGGTGTTGCTCAAGCCGGTAATAATAGATAATAGACATCACTCTCGGTACTTATAAAGTAACCGGTCAATGGTTTTCACCCACATATATACCCGATTAACATATAGCAGATAGTACTTACTTCTCACAAGGACCAATCTCGCAAGGCAAAGCCTGACTCATAACGGTAGATGCGCGGAATCCAACGTTGCAGTGTTTGAACGCGCGCGGCAGCAGGTAGTGGCGCGTGCGTGATCGCACACCGCAGCCCTCGCACGGCGACCACTCCGACCACGACGACACCGCACATGGTCCTGTCGACTCAGCTGGGTCCGCCTCGTAGTCTGATATAGCTCTAAAAGATTATTTCCATTATTTTTCTACCCTTATCCTCATAATTATGAGATCGGCATAATATGTTTATCCAAATTATTATGGTTTTCGTCTAATTCATCTATAATTTTATAACCGGCCGCCCAAGAGCACCCGCAACACCAGGGGAATTGCAAGTGGGTTGCCGTCCTTTTGAGAAGGAATAAGGTCTTTTCTTAAAGGTTTAATTATTGGTTCGTAAATAAGTAATTCCACAATGTGGCTGTGCGTGGCAAAAAAATATCTGGAAAAACGCGCGGTAGATGAGGTTTTATAAGGGACACGGAGTTATTAAAGGATATAAAGAAATTGTAGAGAAACTAAGTACAAATATATCTATACAAAATAAAAAAAATCGAGCTAATCCTATACTACGACACCTGACCAGCATGTTTGTATTAAGAGACTAAAACATCATGTTATGAGGAGAGACCGAGCGCTGCAGATGACAATAGATTGTTATAATGATGAAGTGTCATGAGATGTCAAAGTAAATAATACCTGCAATGCATTCTGGGTCCGATACATGGTTTGTGATCGGTGAGTGGTACGCGGCATGCCTCGGCGTACGCGCGAGCCGGCCATACGTAATTTCGTTGTCGTGAGGCGTAACCCTGGCCGCACGTGACGCTACACGGGCCCCACTGGCCCCAAGCGTGCGTGATGCAGGCGCTACCGCTAGCAGGCGACTCCTGGCCATGCTCGTTGTTCATCTCTGTCGTACACCAGTACCGTATTTACTACCACCAAATCGAGTACTTTTTAAATTAGAAAATTCATGAATTTTTCATTATTGAATTATCTTTAACCCATTGTTTGGAGTCAGAGTTTTTTTTATACCACGTAGGTGGCAAACAAGCATACAGTCCATCTGATGGTAAAATGTTATCGTAGCCTATGGACGCCTGAAACACCCGGGGTGTAACCTGCGCGTTGCCGACACTTAAGAAACCTTAATATAGTCTTCTTAAAAAGCGTAGTATGTCGTTCTTCAATTTCTATCGGCAGCATTATATATGAGCTTACTCCGCTTTTAGACATATAAAGTTTTTAATTTTCAATCCATATTTTCGTCAACCGTTGTTTACTTTTATGCCCAATCACATTCACATTTAATGTCTTCTTTAAAACTTTATCTTTGTTATTCCGCATATAGTCCATATATCAAGAATGTCGGTTACATGCAGGTTTAATGAAGTAGTCAGAGGCACTACCAATTGTCGACATCGCGATGCATGCGCCTTATAGGTTCGAGGCACTCCAATGAAGTCAATTACAAAATAATTACAGTTAATAGTAAAACATACAAGAATACATATTAAAATTGCCAAACTTACCGGCGGCAGCAACACCGCAGATTTTCTCATAAAGCCGAAGCCGAGTAAGACGTAATCTAGCGAAGGGTCGCATTTCATTGCTGCTACTGAAGAACGGTGAGCGCACATCACGAGGCCAATCTGGTCTCAGAGCACGTACCGGCGCGGCCGGCACCGTGGGATGGCGACGGGCCTAAACAACAAACATTATTCAAATACTTTGCAGCTGACATATTGAACTAATGAACTGACAAATTAATCTAGAGATATCTAGTTCACCAACCAACTCCTTCATTTATAAAAAGTTTAATGCACTACTTACTTCAATTTAGTTGTACAATGTATGTATGATACATTGAAAAATTTGGCTATAATAGTACCTAGAAATCTGCCTAGAATTATCGGAAATATTAAGAACGGTATAGGTTACCTCGTTTTAAAATTAACAATATGTTTTGGTGGTAATATGCAAACACAGAAAACATTTAACTGAAACTTAACAGAATATAATTTGATAATATCACAGATAACATAATATTACTTACAGTACTTACGTACAGTAATATATTAAGTAATATGTTAAGTATACTAACAGTATAAGTAAGTCCATCATCAGTGCCCGCATCATAAGGATATAGAGGAAGAGTTGCAGAAGTGCTCCAGGTACAGTTAGAATTGCATAGCTCCAATGCCGATACACCAACAATCCAATCCGGTGACGGGGCTAATTTCGATGCTAGAGAGATTAAATGATGTTTGGCGTCCACACGAAATACTGCAAACGTGTTAGGGTTGACACCTCTGGCGACTTGTTGCCAAGATATGCCACGAGCTTTGATTATTGTTCTAATATGGTCGCTCTGCAAAAAATGGCATAACACAATATTTCAATAGCACAAAACAATACCATACTAGCCCTATTCAGCCAGGGTTGAACAAAGAACATAATATGTTATAGTTATAGTCTGTTCAGCTGTATAATGTTATAGTGACACAATTTTTGTGGTGCTTTCACAGATTACGGTCCGAGAGATTGTGGTACAATCGCTTTTTACGCCACCTTTAGAATGTATACAGATTGGATACAAATAAAATCAAAAAGCAAAATAAAGCGGGAATGTAGATAGACTAGAATAATCACCAGAATAGTCCACAGATATAGACTTTTCAAAATCGTCTGTCTGAATGCCTCCATTTTAGCCGCCAAGCAGCTTACTTGTAAGCTGTGTTTGTAGAGTGCAAACAAGACCATGAAATTACAAAGTAATAAGTCTTAGTCCTATAGAATAACAATGCATTAATGATATCACATGGTGTCACATAATAACGTAATATCCGTAGTTGCTATTCATTTATATAGACGATGGTTACCACTTACCATCAGGCAGATAAGTATATTTGCTATTTCATTTTCTTAAAAAATTGCTCTTACCTCAGCTTTCAGTTCCTTCTCTAACGAAGTGGTGACTCCATCTTCAGCCAATTTTCGGAGCCCATTACTGGCTACCCTGCCTTCTTGCCATACTCTAAATTGGCCGGTATGTGAAGCACCTATAATATCTCCGAAGTGCGCTTGAGCTACCTCAGGTGGAAAATCTCGTGGGTGTGTATTGCGAGACCAAAGACCCTCAAATACTACCTGTGACAGACATTAAAAATTATACCGAAAGTTGACGAGCATATAGCTAGTTAAAAAGGTTTAATTAACTATAATAAAATAAAAAAGAAAACTAATAAATTTACATTGCTGTTAAAGCGAGAATAAATACCTACTTATAAAATGTCAATATTATACTATGTCATCTTCTAAATACCCTAATAACGTGTAATGGAAAACAACATAACAGATATTATTAGGACAAGACATATGAAAGCATAACGATACTGCATAAGATGTTTGTGTTTCAAGTTTACCTGAGCAGGCAGTGTCGTAAATGAAGAATGGAAAGCATTCCTGGTATTTAATGGTGCAATATTTCGCACGTCACAAACAATATGATATCGTGTCAAAAAGACGGATTTTTAATTTTCAAAACCGTAACTAGAATTTTTCTCCATAAACTAGTAAAACAATTGTATTTTAGTACAAATGTGACAAACATACATTACACATTTCTTTATCTGTTCAATTGTGCCATACATAACTATTATACATAGTAACATATATATAATTTGTGCATGTTTTATGCAAAATGATCGCGTTACAGTGTACTCTGTTGCCATTCACGAACATAGAAATTAATTTTATTTATCTCGATTTGCAACTAATATGTTGCTACCTAATTAAACTAAAAATGTAGTTAATTTTTATTAACGTAAAATGTGAGATTTCTATAGAATACACTTTACTTTATATTCTGTTGGCTGTTATATTTCGCACGATCCCTCGTGTTGTCTAGTCACCAATTGTATTAACTGTTACGTTTTAATAGATTTATATCTTTTTCCAATAATTTCCAATTACATAAAGAGCAAGATCTCAAAAAAAATACAAAATATTTTTCCGTGCTTCGGATGTCTTCTCAACATTTACTAAGTGTACACTTTTCTTTGCTATCATTTTTGTTTGTGACGTGTGATTTCATTGCCATAATGCTCTCTTTATGATACGCCAATATTCGATTAAGTGATCATGCCTTCATATACTGTAATTACAATGCCCATAAAGCCGACTTTGTACAAAGTTTACTACTGTGAAATATCATCAAATTAATATATTACTCATATATCATTTAAGTGATTTGTGCCTAAAAATATCTTACTTCATATTTAGCCTCGTCGCAAGCACAACAAGGCTCCACGATGTGCGGTTGCCGTGAAAAGCTACTAGAAACGGTGGTTGCAGGGCATATCTTCCGAGCTAATACTGACCAATTACCGGAGCCCACAGCTGGATTTGCGTGAGCACATAACAAGATGCAAGAGTTCGTAGCATTCGATGGCGCATTCCATAATACCTAGATTACAAAAAGTCATTAGTCTTAGATATTCAAACAACATTCATAACTTTTGGAAATATGTTTTTAATAGTATCCTCGACGTATATTACAACGTAAAGAATTAGCAAAACAATTGCCTGTTGCTCTTATAAACAAATGTTTATACCTTACGTCTTTTATATTTTTTATTGTATAACCACCAAATCACCAAATACACTATTGCAAAGGTATTCAATATTCTATTAATACTAAAGTTTGATAGCCAGATTTCAATTATTTTTAGTGTGACGAAATGATAAGGAATGAATACTATATACACTTAGTAATAGTTGACAGTTGTTTTACCACGATTCGAATTATTTATATGTACAATTAATTCAGGAAATATTATTAACGAGAAGTAGAGTACTTTTAAAAAATTTTCACTTATTCCAAATTACCAACAAAAGTAGGTACCTAATATTAATAACAAAATAAAGAAATATAAAATTAATTACGTATATCAATAAGTATTACTTCATATAAAATCTATTATATTTTTAGAGCATCGTGATCTAGTTATTCACTATCCCGAAAAAGTCGTGGATTCAAATTTGGCCGACACCAAAAATAACTTATATTTGTTTGACTCTCTTGTTTTGTCTGACTCTGCGACGAAGGAAATGCAGATAAAAAAACAATAAATCCGATAAACTTGCCTCTGCGAAAGGTGGGCATGAATGAATTAAATTTTTGAATTTAACTTACTCGTATCTCAGTCTTGGGGTGTGCGGTAGCGTTATTAACAGCCGGCCTACAAAACGGGTGCGGCTTAGTTTGAGCATCATATTGTTGGAAAACTCCCAGAGGTAACACAGGCCCATTAGAGCTAGAACTATCATTAGGTTCAGTATTTACAGAATCTTCATTTTGCACCCATATAGTGAACTCTATGAATGGTGCCGGACCCTGTCCATTGTCTAAGCCTTGTAAAGAAACTAAAATGAATGATAATTTGTTATTAACACACAAGTATTTATGTACACACACACTAGTATTAAATACAACAATAAAAGAAATATCAGACGAATATGCACAAACAAATTAATAATCAAAATTTAGAACAGGTGCAGAAATTGCGTAACGCATGCTTACATTTCCTTCATGTTATGAAATTTTGTATATACTTACACTAATTAAGACAGGTTTTTTTATATTATTGAACAAATGAGCTTGGGGTTCATAGTATCGTTTAATTTATATACTCGTAAATAGAAATAATAAACTTAATCGAATATATAAACTTTGGAATAGTCATATTTTTTTATTCTACCTCTCATTCAGAAAGCAATCTCATCACAATAAGAACGAGTAAGAAACTTGCGTGTTGCTCTTTTAAATAAATGATCAGAATTACATTATTAAGAATTTAGTGTGAATAAGTATGTATTAAACAAAGTTATAAAGAATGTTATTCTTCTAAACACAATTACTGTAAATTCACCTGTATATAGCTCCCCTGGTAAGAACAGGTCTGGTTCGCCGGCAATTCCTATTCGATAATGTGAATCGGCGGGCTGCGCGTGCGACAGCGGGCGCTCGCACTGTTGCATAGTATCACTCGCAACAGCTGCGATGCATACTGCATATATTGTCATGAAGATATCCATATTGCCTGATAAGAAGAAAAAACTATCCTCATTGCCTTGCCTTTATCCCATTATATGGGGTCGTCGCAGTATGTCGTTGTTCTCCACTGATTCGTATTTTCCTGCATAAGTTTTTACGGCCGGCCGCCTGCTTGGCACCAACCCTCCTTGGGAAAGCTGTTGTTAGTTGTTTAACGCCCACCGTAAAGGCTAGTGAAATTGAACCGCGATTTATTTAAACTACATTTGTCCTATTACAACAAGGCATTTTTGCCTAAGTTTGATTGGCATGCTAATCAAGTTTTAGTTTTTCTTTCACAGGGTAGTGAAAGACAAACTTCTCAACAAAGGAGAAAAAATAATATTTATCATAATAATTTATAGATATAACAAAAACTAATAACTTTATACCTATACAAATACATGATAGATCTATGGGAAGACTATTATTGGGGGACTTTAACAATGTAAAAGAATCCAAGATAATGATTGATAGAATTTTTGTCTGTTTGAGCGCGCTAATCTCAGAAACGGTTTACCGATTTGTGTGCAATTTTTTGTTTGTTTCATTCGAATCGGTTCACAAACAAAAAAGTTATACTGATCACGCCGCGAGTAAAACTAGTACATTTTGTAATCTTAAATAAATGACCACTCTGTACATTTCTTTAATACCATGATGGTGGAAATGAAGCATACGGCCCATCTGATGGTAAACGGTTACTGCAGTTTATGGACCCCTGAAACAACCGGAGAGACGCATGCCTGTTGCCATCATATTTATATATATATGTACATATAATTCCAAAAAATATATATTACAAAAAAAAAACAATTTCTTGAGTTTAACAAAAAGGTTTTAGAAATTTTATGTTTATCAGCGAATGTTTACATAACAATATCAGAAACAAATTTAAAGTTATACTTCTCGTAACATTTGGTGTTTGTTTCAAACTGATTATAAAAGAAAAAGTATATATTATTTATCATTGTGAATACTAAACAACTATACAAAGTGGCAGGCTCAGGCAGTTTAAAATAAATTTATCAAACAATGATGAATCATCATATTTTCAGGACCGTGTCTTCGTTAAGTTGTAAGAAGAAGCGCAACCCAAGTATAGAGTCAACAAAAGCAAATAGAGCAGAGAAATTATTTTAGCTATCGCAAAATTATATTCTTTGTTTTTATTCGTATAAAAAAGTTATGTATTTTTACATATCAATCGCCACCATTTACGTCACTAACATAGGAGGAGGTGGGTGGGGTTGCTGAACTGAGCAGGGAGGTTTCAATTGGCGCACCCCGGCACTTGATAAAGGAGAGTCTATTCTGATCAAGCACGAACCAATTAATATACAATACAGATTGATTATTGAATGGAAAAAAAGTTAGATAATACATCAAATATATAATAATATAAAGTTATTCAACTCTCATACATATAGTTGCAAATATAACAAATTCTGTAATGATTAAAAAAAATATTTTAGACAAGATACCAACTGTTCCTTTAGTTTAATTTTAAATTATGGAAACAGTATTAATGTTCTAAAATATTGTATAACATAAAATTACTTTAAATTTTACACAAAATAAAATATCAATTTATGGCTTTAACATAAACATATAAAAAACAAATTTATCTAGTAACATAGGTTTCACTAGCTGTAATGTAATTTATGTGAACTGATTGGGAATTCATAAACAAAGGAATGTCACTGACCTATATATAGGTCGCCGGCAAATATCTGCGAACTTATTATTATATATAATTTTACAGATTCATATTATTATTTTGTTAAATTAATAAGTGGATACTAAATTCAATTAAATTTTCAATGAGTTTGCGTAAGGCGGTGACAAGCGTATGACGCGCGCCCGCCCTACGCGTTCGAAAGCTACGCGCGCTTCTACGGAACTAAGCGAGACAGGATTTGATTTTGCACGTCCGCGTCCCTTTAAAATATTGTAAACGCGCTCAATACTGTAGGTTACCTAGGTAGATGCACTATATATCGATCAACATTACATTGATTGTGCTCCTCTGACCTGGATGCTGACGCATGTAGCCATCTGTATTTTATACATATGCGCTTATAGCCTTTAGCAAACGATTAGTATTTATAATGTATTACATACGTAATGGAATAATATATTTAGTTTAAAAACTAGAAAAGTTATATTAATAAACATCATAATAAAGTACTGAAAAACAGATACCTATCCGAGAATTCTGCAATCATGATGAAACATTCCATTTTGTTTAAGTCGGGATTCGAAACCGTTTAAGTATTACGTTAAGAAAGGATGTTAGAATTTTGTTTTCTGAAGATCGAGATTATTGAGTATTAGGAAAAATTACACGTGATGGAATTTAGTAGATATACCTATTTATCTTAAGGTATATGTGCGGTTACAAAAAACTTAAAACAAGACAGATTAGGTGCGAGTTCTACTTCCATACAGAGTTTGTAATTAGTAGATATTCTAAATAGATATTATTTCAGATAATCTTTTGGATACATATTACTTTACTCATATCTACACTTATTGAGGGTTCTAGGTTATTTAAGTTTTTTTATTCAATAATCGTACTCTCTGATTCAAATACGGTTATTAATAAATTTACATTACGTTGTATATCAGTGTATTACCACAATCATTTAAGCATTTAACCTCTAGATGTTTAAATATCGATGTAGTTAGATATTAGTACCTAATTTTGACCAAAATTATGTACATACACTTAATGCATAGTGGGCTAATATAAATCATACTATTGCACGGTTATACGATACGCCTCTACATACACTTCTACTTAGTGAGAAAAGAGCAAGAAGTTAAGGGTCGTTTTACGCTCCTTTACCCCAAACAAAAGGCGTCTGCGGTAGTAATGGTGCCGAGTGAAGGCGTAAATTTATATACAAAGGACGCGACTTTTTATGTATACTCACCTAACATCAAAGGCGTTGCTCTACTGTAGAAAAGATATTGTACTATTGTGCCTGTTAGCATTTCACGATAGAAAAACTAAACATACAACAATTCTGAATTCTTTAAGATCCAAGCCAAACTAAGTGTTAGGGAATTGATAGGGAGTATTATGAGGATGAGAATTTATAGTCAGCTACAAAAAAAAATGCATTTATAAAATCTTATGTAATATTTATTGAATAATGTTGAAAATTATTACTAATATAATAGGTATAATAAATTAGTCGCAATTTATAGAATCTAACAATTTCGAAATGTGTAGAATAAGTAATTTCAATAGGTACCTAAACAATCACTTAAAATGTAATGATAGAGTTTGTATTATTTGGTTTTTATCCGTCGTGGGTTTCTTTGGGTCAATAGTCATTGCATTTTGATAAAAATACATACACGAGTGTTATCCCAAAAAGGGGTAAATTCAGAGGCTATGCCAACTGTACAATAATCATCATGGTGAACGCAACACAACGCAAGTCATGTCATGGCCACATTTAGCTCTGTATATTTGAATAACATCTTAATAATAACAATAAATAATGCCTACACAAGGTCCAAATAAAAAAAGATAATAATCCAAAAGTGTATTTACAGTTCTGCCACTTCATCGAATTATAATTTGTTTATATTTCTGAAAGTAATAATAATAAAAATATACTTATTTACTATCTAGTTATTGACTACTACCTAGTCTGTGTTTATATGAGGCGATTTATTTATGAAATTATTTGAAGGTCAAATCTACATAAACATATTTTTACAGCACAAACTTCTATATAGAATCAAATAGAATGATAATGTTTCTAATAAGTTATACGTTACTTATTATCTATATATAATTATATATGTACTAGACAATTCTTATGATATACAAAAAATATTAGATTGACATAGCCCAGTAAAATTGAATAATAAATAAACATAAATATTTATGACACTAGTGCCTAATTTTTCCAATACACACAATTTAAAAATATGTATCAAATTATAATGTATTATCACATTTTGCTTTTAAATTAGACAATGATAATTTAATACAAATTGGCACGTGTTCCACGTCACTCATGACAAATAATTTACGAATTATGTAGATACGCCAGATAATATTACTTCCGTACAACTATTTTGTCGTTTTGATAATGAATCGAGTTCCTCTAACTTACATTTAAGGCCTATATGTAGTCGTACATATTATATATTATGGAACTGAAGGTATTGTAAGTGTAGTAAGTATACCTATATAACAAACAGAACTAACTAGTTTACCTAAATATTTGTACACAAAGTGTGAACGTCATTTTCGCAAACATTGGTTTGTGAAAGGTATTAGAGCGAGAGTCCCCAATATCAAATAAGAAGTACAGACGTATTTCATATGATGCAGGTAGACTTATTTTAAGTGACGTAGCCGTCTGTTTCTTATTGCTATGCACAGATAGATTTCAATATGGATCCTACAACAATAATACAAGCAGTATGCATTTCATTACAAATATAATATGACTTCGTGTAATATCTAAATATGTTAAAATTACAATATAGTAAATGATTACAGAAAGGTTTAAATTAATACTTTTTTTATCAGGTGCAATAAAGTGTATAAATAAAATAAATATAGATATTACAGGCAGTAATATCTATGTAAGCGTTACCAATTTGACCCAAAACGTACCATACAATTAATTCTTTTTTGTTCTTATCTGTTAGAAATATAAGAGATTTCATATTGTTCAATTTATTTCAATGTTATGCGCCGTTTTATGACTGTGGTCTATTTGGTGGTTGTTCTCTGAGTTCTAATACATGATCGACAGCCTGTGGTCGTCCGTCCGGACCAATTCGTGCGGGCTTCATTACTCCATCAGTCACCATTTTATCGAACAGGTTCACTAGTTTCATAGCCTCATACTCTTTCTGTAAAAAAACACAATTTAAATGAGTGGTAACAACTTTTTAATGTATCGTAAATGATATAAAAGTTGGAAATAAATCAAAATATAATATGTATGTCATTTACATAATCCGTAAATTACTGAGTTAAAGAGAAATCCTTAATAAAAAGTTACATATGTTGTAATAATTAAATAAATTTTTTTTTTTGGGTGATTATGGAATGGTACATTTGCCTATGTAAATAGTGTTCGCTGGCAATGCACCATTTGTTTGAATGGGCATGAAGTCAGATCACCTATCATGGAGAATTCACCAAGACTTAAAAGCGATGGTTTCCAGAGGAACCTGGTGGATGTCGACCTGACAGAATTTTCATACTCTCCTAGGATCATTATTCCTTCGGATGTGTATTTTGAAATAATATTAGAACTGTGTTATGTAAGACACATTTTTGTACATTATTATTTTATTACATCATTCTGTACAGACCTTCCTAATCACAGTATGAATAAAGAGCTAATAAAAGATGGAATATTGATAACGAACATCGCCAGTTATGGTTTATTTGGTACGCTATACATATAAGTTTTGCAACTTATCTAATTTCAAGTTGTATAATATGAGGTTTTTCATGTATGCGAAGCCACATCAACCAGATTTTATTACAGTGGTATGAATTACAGCTACAGTGCTGTGGTTTTATATTTAGTTACAGTGGTTTCAAATGTCTTTAGAGGTATTTTATATTGTGCATACTAATTTACAAGAGTGCTGAGCTGTTATATTTATAAAGCTAGCGTTAACAACGGATACAACGCCAGCTAAAGTGGAAGGGCATTGTATAAGTGCCTGAAAGCCATTATCTTAATTTGTATTATAGTAAAATCGCAACGATTGTTAAGTAACTTGATTTCAACCTTCATATAAGGCCGTCACCCAAATTACTTTACAGAGTAAGTAAAGAAATCATTTATTAAATAGAAGATTCATCAATCTTTCGGTATTTATATTGTAAAATTTAATCCTCAATTCCAACTTGACATTTGTATCCAGTATTATGGTTATTAAGATCACTATTTTTGTGAAATAAATCAACCACTATTATTATTGTATTAATAAATCTATAAAATAACAACAAATACCATATAAGTTAGGGAAATACTTATAAACTCCAATGGAAACGAAAGAAATGCAAATATCAGATAAACAAATCAAATCATTAAAAAGTACCTGTTCCTCTGACATCCCCTCAAAGGGATCTACGCGAGGAGGCCGCGTGCAACCCACGACAGGATCGATGTGAGGCTGCGCCTCCAAGTATTCCTCGGTGTCGGAGTCGTCGCTACTAGATGAGTACTGCCCGGTGCGCCCACCACTCAGTAGTCCCTTTTGGGCGAGATGACCCGCAGCGTTGCCGAATCCCGTGTACTTCACCATGCGGCCAACTATTAAGTGTATGAAACAAAAATAATTTAATACTTAATGATTTCTTATTTAAATGTATGTAATTTAATGACAAGGTGTTGATCAACCACTTAGAACTCACTGGGTAATAAACCACTGGGCAAGATGTTTCCAATACAAAATCATTAATTAAAAAACTTACACTGAAGCACTTTTGAATAGTCTTCACTTATTTTTTTTAATGTATCGCTCAGTCGGAAAGTTGTATCATGCCAAGAAGATCGAGTGAGAAACTTGCATGTTTGTCTTTTAAATAATTTAGTTCTATCTTTATATTTTTAAATTGAAACGTGTGAATACAAACTACTAACTAGTACTACTTTATTAGACTTAAAATATTGAATACACAACAAACTGGTTGAGTTAATATATTAAAGAAAATCAGTCATAGAACAGACCAGTTCCTACAAGCAGCTCTTATTCATAAGTATGCCAGATGAGCCATTGCATTAAATCATCAAATCCAGGCCTTTGTCGCAGCATATAGATTCATCAAATGTTGAACAATGAAACTCACCCTTCTCTTTGCATAGCACAAACAAAAATTCCGCCACCAAATCTCTGACTGAGGTTACAGGTGTGGTGAGGAGCCTACACAACTGATTGCGAAGAGTGGTTCCTTTTTCGGGCGGGCTCGAGACGTCACGTAACGGCGGTAGTACCACCTGCCGCAAGTACTTGCGTTGTGCACGACAACTGCGCGCACACTTTACCATTACTGTCAGTATAGGAGATAAACTCTCATACTGATTTTTAGTGTTCTGCAAATATGGAATATAATTAGTAACGTATACATTAATGTAATAATAGGAATCTTATAAAAGAATATATATTTTTTAAAAGATTCTTCATTTATTCGTAATTTAAGAGCGACACTCTTATCGGTGAAATTCTTACTATTTCCTACAATTTTTCATCGAGAATAATAGTCATAAGTTTGTCATATAAAGTGCCCTAACGTTTTCCCATGTCTAATTTATGGTCTGAACAAATATTTACTCAAGACATATTTATAATAAAATTGATGTGATTCAAAAAATATTTTTTTTTACTTAATTAGGTATTACTGTGCGGAAATATATTTTATTAGGTCATGAATTAGATAACAGTACTAAAATATAATCAATATAATTTGAATAATACCGTTGTGTTTGATAATTTATTCTGGAACAAAAGTACAAGTGAATGTAAGGCATCCATGTTTCTTCCCTCATAGGCATATTGACATATTTCTCCAGTATTCAGTTGTGGAGTTAGGTAAGGATAAAACAGCAGAGGTACACTGCAATAAATCACATAATACGTTAAAATAACCTGAATGAATATTGATAGATAAAGAGATAATAAATATCTTATTTAATTTTGTCCTCATTCTACTGTTAAACATAAACTATTCTTTATAAAGTATTTTGTATATAATATTAAAATTACATAGCATACAACACTTTTTATACATTCGTAATTGATTTGCCATTATAGGTAAAAATTAGACTATTATTTTATATTAATTTGTTTGACCATAATTATATACATATAGCAAATAAAAATATAGAAAAATTAGCCAATCAGTGTGTGATCATGGCTAGTGGAAGGAAGTACCTTTATTTAATCTAAATCATTCTTGTTAAGACTCAATTTAATCTTCCTTATATCATACCTACTAATAATATAATTTTAGAGAAATATATAATCACCTTGTCAACAAGTTAGCAATATTACTCTTTAACTCCACAAGTTTACTCTCATTGGAAGTTCCAACATGCAACAGTGTAGTAAGAACAACCATCAATTTCAAGAACATGGCTTCCTCAACTTCATTAATAGCTTCCTCCGAACCCGAATGAATAATCAAATTGAACTGAGCTTTCAGTATCTCACAAATTATAGCTTGCTGGTAATCCTAAAACAGAAAATTCTCTTAAATAATATGTTAATGGAGGAATGGAGAATTAAAGTAGTATAAATTTGAATTTTATTTGCTTACATGAAAGATGCAATGGGCACTTTCCACCATGTCAATGCCATCTGAAGGATTTATTTCTGTTATATTAGGTGATGCCTCTATTATGATTTCATTGATGCAACTTATCAGGTAATCCATACCATGTAATTCATCTTTAATTTTTGTTTTAATATCATGCCTCAAGGCTGTTAGTATAAAGAGCAATTTCATATCAAACAACATAATATCATCTTTGAATGGTATGTCTCTATAGAGGCGTACTCTAGAAACCAGAACCTGAGCAATATTGGTGTGAGCACACAGTGCACGTGCCACTTCACTGTTGAAAGCCAGATTACAGAGACACTTTAATGCTTCAACTATAACCTCTTTTTGGGCCACATCTATAGATATTGCAGATTCATCCCCTGCTGACATAATATTATAGTAACCAGCCCTTTCAATCAGTACTGTAATCCACTTTTCACATAGTAATGCCTCCAAATCCAATTTATCTCGACTGAAAATTATATTATTAATTATGTAGTTACCACATTAAATATAAATATAGATAATGTATATTTAACATCTATTTATGTCTATTATTAAAAGTATACATAAAGTAATGAGGTACCTGAGAACCCTTATAGTAGCGAGACACAATGCATGGACAGCCTCCAATGACTTATTCTGAAGATGCTGAAATAAAGCTGTCCACAGTAGCAATCTTCGGTTGTTCTCACATAATGATGGAAATGTAAACACATTTTCATTCTGAAAAAAATATGCACCAACCAACCATTACCTATGCATAAATTTATGATGATAGTAAAGTTATAAATAGTTATTAAAATATATACACTTACACTTTTCAAAAACTGCTGTAAAATGTTGTTTATTTCATCAATGTTATTACTAGTACATAAGATAGATATGTCGTCTTCGTCCATTGCAAAAATCTGTAGTTAATGACTATTCAAGAACAATATTTAATTTCAATATTTTTTTTATTTATATGACGAAACTAGTGTTCTAGTTCAGCAATGCTACTATACTAATCTCATAATTTACATCAATCTAAACGAGTACAACTAAATGCTGCATGTAATATATTAATATAGTTGTGTAGACACCAAGATAATTTTAATCAGGTAACCACAAGAATTAACCAAACCACAAAACGAAACACAATCTCCGTATACCTATAAATAATTCCTATAATTATAGATAATATACTATACTTCTATAATTTCCTTGAATTCTATAAGCTTTGCTTGATATATGTTTTGATATCAATAATGTATATTAAAAAACAAAACAAAATCGAATTCAATGACTGTCATTGAACAATGAATAAACTGCTTTACAAGACGTCAATTTGATCTAGCCCATACTTGCTTCAGTAGTAATATATCTTGAAATGTTGTCACTCTTTGATGTCAGTCATAGTACATAAAGTATATATCTTGAAATGTTGAAGAAGTCTCGAAAATGGGTTTGTATTCTGGCCAGATCATATATATTGATCAATTTATCAATAAATATTAATCGCTGCGAAATGTTGACATTAGTGATCTAATGATTGATCTTCGTCGGCAGAACAATAATTTAGGAGACGAAACCATTTTCATAGAAAAATATTTGTTATATTTAATAATCATTTATCTTACTAACATTAAAACTATTTTATATTTCGATAGAAGAAACAATCAATTAAACATGGCCACAATGGCTCTCACTGGCCATTTTGCTACTAAAATCATACGTTAATAGTTATTATCCCAATATAGTCAAGAAATACTACACTTACATAATATTTATTCGATAACCGAATGATATTTTTTCCTTGGCATCATAAACAGCAAAATACTTTATTTTTGACAGTACATATCCTATAATTGTTCCATTGAGATATGTAGACATCATATTTAATACATATTATTATAAAAAAAAAATCATATCTATTTCAGCCAAAAGATGGTTTTAGGAGAGTGGATTTTTTAATTTATGTAATAATTGGTTATATCAAGAATGTTTCAGCAATACAGTTTTAGCAATTCAAAACGAGATGGGAGATTCAACTTAACTTGAGCGGCTCCCAAAATTAATCTTAAATTTATATTTTGGAGTTTTTCTAATTTATCAACATATTTTTTTTTTGATGGTTACAAAAACAGAAGAACGCATATTCAAAATGCGTTCGAACCAGCGACTTGTAAAGAATTAACAGAATTTTGGTCTGCTCCCCAAGTAGTGCCGACCAAAGTTTGAGAATAATGGCATAGTGGCTACTGTGTTCTTAAATTATTTTGAAATATTACACTAAAAATTTGTGGGCAGAATAATGCTCATATATTTCACCTGACTAGATGAGTCTATATTTAAATTGTTATTACTAAAAAATTGGCACAAATTTCAGAAAGTAAAGCAATATTGATTTTTATTCAATTTTATTCATCACATAAAACACTAAAGCAATGTTCTATGAACTAAATAATATATAATAAATGAGTATACCTTGCCAATAAAATTAAAGCAACCAAATGAAACATTCTTAAAGAAATCACCATTCATAATATTATATAATGCTATTATAATAATTTTCTGCCAAAATCTTCTGATTTACAAATTGAATACATACCAGAAAAATTGCTACCAAATGTTGTATATTAATATATATACATATATATATTCAACCTAGAAACGAAATACTCTAGCTTTGTTTAAGTAATTGTTCAAAAATATAATATATATACATAATCAGCAACATATAATTATTAATTTTATAATCTGTTTTCCATTCAAATAAGTTATACCATAATAAATATAATAATTATATTTTTGTTGATTTATCAACAAATATTATACCCAACTCCTTTATAAAATAAAGTAATTTGAAAGGTTTATCAAAGAAAATATCTTTAGCTTTATCAGAATTGTTAGGAACTGTTGTAAAACATATTTGTATGTGAAAAAATTCATTTAACCACATATCATCGCCGAGGTTTATTTATATATTTCTTATTAAATTTTCGAACTTTTGTCCAAACATTAGATATAGAAGTGGTTCTGTTTATTAGAAAATTCAGCACTTTGGCACAGTTTTAATAGTTTTTTTTGTATTCCAAATGTATTCTGGTGCTTTAATCTATATATGCTTGTTTACTTTTACGAACACAAAGTGTCATTCCACCATGGTACTGGAGGATGCTTATATTTTGATAGTTTAGAATTGTAGAAGAATTACAATTGTATTGTTTTTGTTTATTATTTAGAACAATATCAATAGAATTTAAAATATACAAAAAGTGTCATATGTTGAACAGATAGCTCTCATCAGAAAATCATAATTTGAATTAACAATTTTCTGTAATTGTCCCAGTTTACAAGTCCCATTTATTTGGAACTGGCTCCTTTACAAGAAAAATTGGAATGTTGTAAATTTAATTGTGTTTTTTGGCAAATGATTTAACGGATCTTCGTAAACATACCAGTTACATGAAAGGGATAAAGAAGGACTAACTATGGTTAAATCCAAGCCATTTGGCTTCCAAATATGACTACCTACAGTAGTGACATGACCATCGTTTAATAAAACTAGGTTACATTCATCTAAAGTTTCTAAAATATCTCGTTTAATTGAATCACAACCCCAAATGGTGTTTCATTAAAATTACCAATATCATTATTTCACAAAGTTAACAGTCTGAACAATTGGTGGGGCAATAAATAGTAGCTAATGATATTTTTTCATTGTTTATAATGATCTGAATGACTAAAGTTTGTATTGAATCGTCAGAAAACATATTAATTCTATTATAATGAAGGTTTTCATGTATGATAATAGCAACACCGTTGTGGTAATTACCTGAGTCATTGCTCTATTTTATAACCCTTTATTTTTAATTTATGATGTGGCCGAAGCCAAGTTTCACATAAAAGTGCAATATAACCATAAAGAAAATGTGTGAGTAAATGTCGATTTCTCAGCAGAATTTGAGCGTTCCACTGATCTATATTTAAATTATTTAAGGTGAATTTTCATAATGTTTTTGTTACTGAAATTTTCAGTAAGAATGTCTAATAAATTTTTTGTGCAAATTATTTTGAGTTTTATTTAATGTAATCAATTTTCTATGGACTCTACTAAGAGACCAAGAGATTTATCATCATTTTTAAGAAAAGAAATCAAATCATTATTATATTTATTCTGTCTAGTACCTAGTGATGGGAAAGATTTAAATACATCTGCATATGAAGATGTTTGAGCTTTGTTTCTGTTTTCTATAATTTTTTTTGTTTGATTGGACATTTGGAGGAAATACTAACATGTGCCACTTTCATGATTACCATCGCAATGGAAACATTTGGCATTTTCTACTGGTGTATCGCATATTTTAAAATTATGACTTCCTTTGCATATGGAGCATGTCTCTGCATTTTTACAATATTTAGCTAGATGTCCATACCTCAAACAACGGAAGCACTGCTTCACAGGAGCGATGTATGGTGATATATCGTGTCGCCATCCTTATCTTATCTGCAAAAGTGATTGCTATGTCACTGTAGAAAAAACCACACATTTTTAACCGTAGAAACCGCCGAAACATATAATTTTTTTATAACTTGATATCAGTATATATTCTTATTGGATAGGTTTAATGGGACAGTCCTAATGACTCCTGTAACTTCTGTGGATCCAGCTGGTATACTCGCTTTAAATTGGTATTCTTTAAGAAAGGTAAAACAAGAGCAGCAAGGCCAGGATCATTTTATCTTATTTGTGAGAAACTCCTTTATTAAACCTTTTTAAACAAGATGAAAGAGATAGAAGGTCTCTAGAGCCTATTATAGTTTTAGGAACTCAACGAATACAACGAATTCAGTTCGGAATCCTCTGGATAACGTCTATGATAATCCGTGACAAAATAAGTTTTATACAGTTCTTTCGATCTAATTCATCCGTCAGATTCGGATGAAGTTGAAGATTTGCAGTCACTATCTGGATCATCTGGAGATACAGGCTTTTTATGGCTTTCTTCTAATTCCCCATTGCTTTGGTTAGGATTTTATTTTAACCACAATATATACGATATACAATTGAATAAACCAAATAAAATATAATAAAATTTTTAAAATAGCGCACTTCCTTTCAAGCGTTCCCGCGCTTTCCAAGACGTCAATTTGATTGTCACTCTTTGATGTCAGTCAAGTACATAAAGTCATTCAAGAAGTCAGTATTCGGCCAGATTGGCAGAAGCTGTGGCTAGAAGGCCCAGTTTAGTCATACAAAAATATTTGTTATATTTAATAATCATTTATCTTACTAACATTAAAACTATTTTATATTTCGATAGAAGAAACAATCAATTAAACATGGCCACAATGGCTCTCACTGGCCATTTTGCTACTAAAATCATACGTAAGTTATTATCCCACAAGAAATACTACACTTACATAATATTATTATAACCACAAAGCAAAATACATTTGACAGTAATCCGATAAGCAATGTAGTAATTTAATACATATTATTATAAAAAAAAAAACATATCTATTTCAGCCAAAAATGGTTTTATGAGTGTTGTTTATATCAAGACTGCGCAATACAGTGGAGATGGGAGACCTAACTTAGCGGCGTACAAACGAGGCACTGGTGGTCGTAGTAGTTTCAATGGCATAGTGGCTACTGTGTTCGGTTGTACTGGATTTGTGGGCAGATATGTTTGCAACAAGCTCGGTAAAATTGGCACTCAGGTAAACTTTATTCAATTTTATTCATACATAAAACACTCAATGTTCCTATATTATATAAATCATATGCTAATAAAATTAAAGCAACCAAATACATTCTTAAAGAAATCACTTTAATATTTATAATGCTATTATAATCATTTTCATCTGCAAATTTACATACCTATTGTATGTATATTTTATATACATATACATACAACCTAGAAACATAAGCTAAGTAACTAAATATAATATATATACATAATGCCATAATTATTAATTTTATCCTGATCAAATAAGAATAATTGTAATTATATTTTAGTGTATAATTAGTAAAAATCACGGATCTTACCGTTTTATATTTATTTACGAGGATATTTGTAGTGTTTCAACCACCATGATCACGGGTAGACTGAAGAGCACGTAGATGGAAAATGAAAATGGGCTCCACATACTTCACTGGAACTCCTCGATATTCATCTCGGCAAACTTTCAAGCGTACATTTAATACATTTTTTGATCGCGTATTTTGTTTTTGTTTAATTAAAAAATCACTGGATTCAGGGGTCTCGATTGAAATTTTTATATTTCTGTATTTCAATGGCCTCTCTATTCGTATAACGCCTTTTCCAGTTCAATCAGTGACAAACAACTATGGCTGATTTACGTGGATCGTTGTTGTTGTTTTAATAGCTTTTATATGTTCAGCAATGCGACGGGCTATTGTTCTTTTTGTCTGTCCGATGTGAGCTCCCACAACTACGTCTTATAGACTCCAGGATGTTGTAGACAGTTGTCCTTAGGTGATGCGGAGTAAAAACAGTATCTACAGAGTATTTACTCAATAGTCTGCTTATCTTATCAGTCACTCCTTTAATATAAGGCAAATGTTACGTTCACCTAAGGACAACTTTCCTCTACAACATCCTGGAGTCTATAAGGTGGACTGTAGTTGTGGGAGCTCATACATCGGACAGACAAAAAGAACAATAGCCCGTCGCATTGCTGAACATATAAAAGCTATTAAAACAACAACAACGATCCACGTAAATCAGCCATAGCGGAACACTACATATGTAAACGGATCGGGACCGAATCACTGGATTGAACTACACCAACCAAAAGTATTAACATCAGAACGGCATTATATCCCAAGAATGGTTAGAGAGGCCATTGAAATACAGAAATATAAAAATTTCAATCGAGAAGACGGCTATAGGCTCTCTAATGCCTGGAATCTGATTGGTTTAATTAAACAAAAACAAAATACGCGATCAAAAAATGTATTAAATGTACGTACAGTTTGCCGAGATGAATATCGAGCGAGTTCCCGTAGTAGCAACAAACGAAGACGTGTGAACGTCGCATATGCAAACGTAGACGCATATGTCTGCCCATAAAAAGATTTCATTTTCCATCTACCCGCTGCTCTTCGATAATCAGTAAATAAATATATGATTTTTACTAATTATACGTATAAATAATGACCGCGTCAAGTTTAAAACAGTATATATTTTAGTGATTTATAAAATAAATACCTCCTTTATAAAATAAAGTAATAAGAATAAGCAAAGCATGGTTACATATTTGTATTGAAAAAACTCAATTCTGCCAACCTTTATTAAAATGAGCAGGCCATATTTTGTATTCCAAATGTATTCTGGTGCTTTAATTTTATTGTTTACAAAACTCCAAGTGGATTTTGTTTATTAGTTATATCAGAATATACCTAAGTAGCCATTGTTCATTATTTTTAAAGAATGAAACTAGTTAGAGTAATGTAACAATATAATTTGTTTATTTAAGATGAGTATGTAAAATTAAGAAATAAACTGAAATTATATTATATATATATTGTACTTCATATGACTAAATTACTTTAAAGAAAGTTAGTTTAATGTGAGTTTCTTATTTCTGCAGAAACTGAAAATTGTGTATGCTATTTTAACAGTGAATCCTATATAATATACTCATAAATAGAGACTGGATTATATGCATTTGCATATTCGCATATGCATTTGCATATTTTAGCCATTCTCACAGGTAATAGCATATTTTACCTAAGATCTAGTTATGATGCATTTTATCTATACATTTACAATATTTTCACTCATCCTGCATTCCGAAATGCGACCAAATTTAATATAATAACAGTCACAAAATATAAGGGCTATTGAGTAATAATTGTGACTTTTTACTGAATTTTGGAACGCAGTCAGTAGCCGCGTGCAAGTTTTTTTTTTACGATAATAAATTTAAAGAGACAGAATAACGTCGCACACGCCTACTACAAAGTCATTCCACCTATTACACATATAAATAGTTACATGCTTAGATTTACAAAAAAAAATTAATGTCATGTAATGTTACTGTACATATCAAAAGCCCATTAGGGTTTTATTATGTATTAGGTGATATTAATCACCTCACACATAACATAATATAAAAAATATCACCTATCAAAAAATAATTTACTAATTTTATGCTGATTTTGAAATAAAAAAAACAATACTTTTCTTTTGGGGATTCCTAAAATTTATCATTTAATTTTGCATATTTTGCCAATTTTCGTGCATATTTGCATGCATATAACAAGCTTTTTTATGTTGCATATAATCCGGTCTCTACTCATAAATGTTATTGCTTCAGATGATTCTGCCATACAGGAGTGACTTCTATGATGCCCAAAGGCTTAAAGTTGCAGGAGATTTAGGACAAGTGTTGTTCACTCCTTTTGATATAAGAGATGAGGAGTCTATTGCAAAGGCAGTCCGTTACTCCAATGTGGTCATCAACTTGATTGGTAGAGATTATGAAACTAAAAATTTCACATATACAGATGTTCATGTTGAAGGACCTCGTCGCATTGCAAGGTCAGTAATTAACCTGAGAGAGGCTCCACCAACTATTGAAATTTCTGTGATGAGTCAACCATCCATCCTTTATAAAGTTTATTCTGATAATCTGCTAAGGAGTGTCAAAATAGGTAAAACCTAACATTATAAAAAGCTAATAATATACATTCATAACAGGTATCTCAGAGGGTGTATCAAAAATGTTGGAAGCAGAGACTCAGTTCTATTTGAAATTGAGTCCTGATTATAAATATTTTATAAGAGTATCTGTCTATACTGATGGGATCAGAATAAAAAAATAACACTGCTTAACACAAATCATACATAAAATATTAAAATATGGTATCAATATATTTCAGAATCTGCCGAGAAGTGGGAGTGGAAAGATTGATTCATTTGTCTTATCTTAATGCTGAAGAAAATCCGACACCTTTGGTATTGAAGAAACCATCTTTATATAAAATCAGTAAATATCTTGGAGAGAATGCAGTAAGGGAGGAGTTCCCCACAGCTACCATATTGCGTGCTTCTGATATTTACGGATCTGAAGACCGATTCATAAGGTAGTTAACTAACTATTCTCTAGAAGAGTACATCTGAACCTTTTTTTTTTGCGGCTCACTTAACGATTTCCTAATTTTGTGGCACACAAAGAAAAAGAAAAGTTTTAAAATTATTTACTATACCGATAACAGTTTATGGTAATATTTTTAAATATGCGAAATAAAATTACATGTACTACAAAAATAACAGTACATTTATTAAGGGAATAACTTCATAAAAGAGTTAATTAAAATTGTAACATTTAAATTGCAGGAGTTTTGCAACACCGTTGCGAACTCATGGCCAGCTCATGCCTTTGTATAAAAATGGATTGAAGACAGTCAAACAGCCTGTATTTGTGTCAGATGTGGCCCAAGGCATTATAAATGCTATAAGAGATCCAGACACAAGGTGCCAGGTGTATCAGGCTATTGGGTTAGTATATATGTAGTTTCTTTTTGTACTTCTGCAACTAATTTGACATTCCCTATAGCCTTTTGCAATTTTATATAGGGTTGGGGGACTATTGGATATTTATATTACCTACTTATTACTTATTAATTTTAGAGGTTACTCAGTAATAATGTTTGGGTATTAATTAAAAAATACATTAACACAATTAATAAAGTATTATAGGGTTGGGTTGGTATAATAATAGTTTTTTTTAATTGACATTTATTTCACTAAGACAAAAACAATAAAGGATTACTAAAAATGGGTTCTAGTAGGCTCCATATTGTACCATGTTTAGTTGACCTCCACACGGTCTCCTGAAAACCATTGTGGTTAATTCATATATAGTTACTATGATGGCTGTACTGACCTGACTTCACACTCAATGTAAGCATATTAGCGCAGGCACAAGCTCTATTCCATAATCATCCTAAATACTAACTTACTCGGGCTTTATTAAACTCTTGGTTCTATCTACTATCTAAGAGATCTGATATGACGTGTATACCATATCAGATCTCTTACAGATATATAATACCGCGGTATCTAATGCGTTGCAATAAACATTATCCAAAAATATCAATGCAAATAATAGGCGTTTCACAAAGTATTTAAGCACTTCCGACATACTTAAACCTATATCGACTTATCCTATTATATATATATCTCAATCATTTTAACATATAACGAAAACAATGAAACATTTGTTTAACGAAAATAATTCTTCCTTCATTTCAGACCAAAGCGGTATCTCTTGGCGGACTTGGTAGATTGGTTCTACAAACTTATGCGCAAAGATGAAAAATGGGGTTATTTCCGCTATGATATGAAATATGACCCCATTCTTCCATTAAAGGTGGCTCTGGTGAATTTGATTTCTCCAGCATATCCTTTTGGAAATCTGCATTGGGAATCCCTTGAAAGGGTAAATATGTTACGTCTCATAGCGCTTAAACCGCCGTCTTTGCCTGCATATATTAAAAAGTGGGATAATATTGTTATATCATAAACTATTTGTATTGAAATCAACGTCTTGGCTCTGTGATTTAAATTTCAGCTTACCCAAAAGTACGTGAGTTCTTATCTAGCGGGCATCTCTTTGAATCTATTTATGATACTGACTGACTCACTGGTTATCTCTTAATTCAGAAAATCATTCGAACAATTTTCAATAGAAATAAAAATAATGTTTATGCAAATAAACTCATTACAAGCACTTTTGAATAGTCATATTTTGATTCACCACTGATTCGGAATGCAGATTCATCACAAGAAGAATGAGCTAGATACTTGTGTGTTGCTCTTTTGAATAGATTTTTTTATAAATCTATATTTCATAGTACGTGTAACTAAAACTACTCTGAGTAGTAAGGGTTATAACTAAGCCGCTGGAACTGTAACATATTACTAAGTAATAGATCCCCTGTAATGTTATTTCTCTTTTCTTTTCATTTATTCATGTAAAAATAAACATGTCTTATTATTATAAATAAATATTAATTACGAAATGTCGGCTACCCTATTCTTTGGTATTTAATCAAAAACAGCCGACAGATGCTTACAGTAGTTATTGCAGTAATGTTTATGTCTATAATATGGTCAATTTGATTTATTACAGGACTACTGCTTAAATCGTTAATTATATTAATAATATGATTTTGTACACATTTACAGGAAGCGACAACCGACGTCGTGGAACCCGGCCTACCGACATTGGAAGACCTAGGTGTGAACTTGACGCAAATAGAAGACCAAGCACCATGGGAGTTAAAACCTTACCGTGCCTACCAATATTACATCGATCAAATTGGAGAATTCCCAAAACCAGACCCTCCTAAAGTTTACAACAGCTAATTGAGTACTTAGTATCTTAACTATGGTATCCAAACAATAATAACTATTTATCAAACCTTGTAATTATCCTATTGTAATATTGAAACATTTTTCAATAAGATTCAATTCAGACATAAATTATTTGAGTACGCGTAATAGTAGTTGTGTAGACAATTTAAATAAATTATTTTCATCGTTATTTTTTTTTCATTTCGTATTTTTATGTACCTAATGTATCATCCTTATTCATAGTATTATGTAGGAATTCATAGTCTGGGATGTGCGAATAGGGATGGATGGAAGAGAAAAACATATTATGCCGACCCCAAATGAATGGGATAAGGAAGAAGCAGATGATGCTGTCAATAGCCATTAGTCAATAGACACATATAATCTGTACAGAAAACTAGACATATTTTTCTTTGTTAATTGTTTTTATAGTAACGGTACGTAACTAAGAAAAACAGTTATTGTTCTTAATTATTAACAAAGCAATAATGTACCTTTACGACCGATATGCCAGATGGGGTAGTGAGATTAAGTAATAATTATATTAAATTTTAATATAATTTCTGTAGGTAACCGTAGGAGTATGCATGTACCATATTTTGAAATTGATTTCCCTAGTGAAGCACTAAGACATGTACATTCTCATATAATGTATTTTGCCTTTTATGAATATAAATTTCCTATTTATATTCTTTTTTTATAATGCTGCACGAAAACGGAAAATCTGTAAATGTATAATAAATTATTAAAAAAAACAGTACATTGTAGAACACATTATTATTATTTTGCACTTCATCACAATATTGAATGTGGCTTGTTTAAAATTTTTAACAGAATTATGTACCAACACTACCTGGAAATACTATATAATTTCTTTTAGTCAATATACAATACAATATAGTATCTTTAAATACTTGCATATTTAAAGGATGGCTAAAAGTGTAGGCTGTATAAGAAATAATAATACAACTATTAAAGTGTTATTTACTTTATTTTTTATTAAAACTTAATTAATTGTTTGGCCTGCCTCTTCCGAAACCACCTCGCTGTAACAATAAATATTTCATGTAAATTTAAACTAGTATACCAGTATAAAATACCATTAAAATAAATATAGGCTACAATAAAATCATTTTAAATAAAGGGTTGAGAAGAGTAGCAAATAATATAAGAGAATTATATAATAAGAGGCAGAATATTTGTAATTTAGATTATTTACCCTATTACTATGACTTTTTTAAAATAGGCTCGAAATATACAATTACAAAAACAAGGTATTTTGTTATGTTCTAAAGTGATAAACTCCACTACCAATCAATCTATCTAACTTTGGTTAGTCCTCTTCCAAAATGGGCCATTTGGAATTCGTTACATAGAGATCATTGCTTAGGGTGTAAAAACAGATCTGCTATCTTTTCTTTAAAGGTCTCTACTCAGAACATTTTTTCATAAACAAGTATATTTATAAACTTTTAATAGCAAATGAAATTACTATAAATGAACAGAAAGAGAAAACACTTACGAATTCCAGATCAGCATTACCAGGCCCGACTTCTGCTTTCTTATCATGACCAGCCGGTGCAGACGCAGTGGGTGCCCGTCTGTAGGCCGAGCGATCCTCTGCAGAACGCGCTGGCGCCTCTGAGCGTCCGCCCACTGCACCACGTCGCACTGTTTCTGTCCTCACTGACCGCTTCAGGGTAGCGGGTACAATTTCGGGAGGTAAGTGGAGGAAAATACGGAGGTATTCAATACCTTCATTTGTAAGGTACCTGGAAATAAAATATTCATAAATATATAAGAAAATATCTGATATTAACAATGAATTAATATAATTAAAGAATGACACATTCATTAGTGTTGCTTCAAATATATTGTAAATGTAAATAAAAATGGACTTATTCCATTTTTATTTACATTTACAATATATTTGAAGCAACACTAATGAATGTGTCATTATTCCTAATTTAAAATTTGCTTAATTAAGTAATATAAAATTAAATAAATGCTACTGTAACTGTATACTTCTATTTACTTATATTATAATATTAAATATACATTTTTAAGTTATCTAAAATTATAAAGATACATTTTTTACCTTTGTAATAATAAAATTTTGTAGTAAAATTGTATTAATACTTCCTACCAGTAGCCTAATTATATTTCTATATTGTTTATGTTAATAATAATGACTTATAGATATACTTAAACACATTTTTTAATGAACACATTTAACTAGTTATTACAGCCAATTTCAACTGGTATATTGTTAGATATCTTTTTAGATGAGAAAGAAGATAGTCTATATTTATTATATAGATAACCCATCTTTGTTAGATCATACATTTTTACATCAAATTTCAGTATGATCCAACTAGATGGATGCATTTAAGTCTATTTGGAATTTGACTTGGGTTCTCGCCACGAAAGTATTTCTGGTATGTTCTACCTAATTAGTTATGTAAATACAATGGTATTAAATTATGTCGACGTGATTGTGTTAATATCAATGGTCCCTACCATATAATGGCATTCCATAATATCTACCATTATTCTATGTTGATTTAACCCACAATACATCATAGACCAACTTTCATACTGCCTTCTACTACTCATTTGCCATTTTGTTGTTCTAAGATTTCATCTCACATTTTACTATTATGCCAGGTGCTCTATACAATAATTTCTATTTTAAATTCAACAGGTGAGTATTATATTGGTATGTCTGTATTTCTAATTTATTAACAATTTAAAGATATTTCTCTTCACTGAATGTTGTCAGGATAAAATATTGATATTTACTTTGCATGTAAACCCATGTCTGCCTGGTGTAAGTTAAGATTAGAAAAATTTTAAATTTTGTTTTACCCTAGTATTTCTTACATGCATGCAAATCCCACAATACATTTATTTACCTTTTAAGAACAACACTCTTGTGTAAATCTTGTCCATCCATAATACAAATTGCAGCAGTTTAAATTAAAAATAATAACCTTAGATAACTCATGCTACAGTAAACAAAGCATTATTTTTGGCAATGGATACAAAATATGGATATAAATGTGTAAAAAAATATTATTGGTTATCCTGACCATTATAGACATATTCTTAAATACATGTTGACAGTTGTTTGTTGGTTGAATGAATGTTGTACGCAGCATAATGTAGTGTATACCGGCACCCGCCTGCGCTGAGCTATGGGCTAGGGACCAGTGGCGAATAATAAAATTATGTGTATTACTACGTACACTATGAAGTATGTCAAAAATGGTAAACACTTACAAGTATAAGAATTACGTATAATATTAAGTAAGCGTAGTAATTAGGAAAAACAAATAATACTATTTACCAGTAGAAATGTCTCCACGCAAATTGTTCCTTCACATAACCTCGTGATTTGAGGGACTGCATAGCTTTAATAACTTGGAGGTTAGGTATCTTCTCCAAATCTGGGTGTTTGGGTGCATGGTAATCTTTTTTAGCTACCATAACACCTTCTTTAAAAAGGTATTCATAAATAGCAACACGATTCTGTTTTGGCATCAACATCTTGAGCCACTTTCTGAAAAACTGCAAATTTTATAAACATACGTTAGTAACAATTTAGGAAAACTGTAAACATAAAATAAAATAACAACACAAATATATCATTATTATATATATCTAACACTCCATTAAATTAAATAATTAACAAAGGATTTCTGAAAAAATAAAAGATTTATATTTAAACATGTACCTTAGGTTAATTTCAGAATCCAAAAGAAATTATATTTTCTTGACAAGACACATTAAATGACAGTGACACCTTTATAAAGTGCTTCGCTAGCATAGATCACAGAGACTAGAGAGTACAAAAAAATGTAGTACACACAGAATTTTATATGTTTACATTACTTTTATCAAATAGCGAATAGGTATATAGATTTATATATCAAAATAGTATAATATATAAATTGATACTGAAATTTCAATCCAGTGTCATTATTACAATAAATCTCTTAATTTTTTTTTAAACCCTATTATTTGCATAAACTATAGTCATAATATCTGTGCTCTATGTCACAACCTGTCATATTGTTTCTTAGTAGTCTGTGCTATTTAGTTTCCGCTATGTCAAATTTATGTTGTCTTTCTTAATTTAATTTTATGAAAAACGAAAACTACGATTTATATTTTAATTCTGGAATAACGATACATAGTTATTTCGTTATTCACTTCTTAATCAATAACTACAGGCGTACAAAATGGATTTCCAAAACCGCCCCGGCGGTAAAACAGGTGGAGGAGGCGTTGCATCTTGGTCTGAAAGCAATAGAGATCGTCGCGAAAGACTTCGTCAGCTCGCACTGGAAACAATTGATTTAAACAAGGACCCTTATTTTATGAAAAACCATTTAGGTTGGTAATCTTATGTGTGTTTATAGGATATATGTATTATTAAATATTTTGATGTTAATTGCAGAATTTTGAGTGTGACCGCTACTCACAATGATGAATGAATGATGATGAATCTCACTAGCTGTCATTAAGTATAACAGTTTTGTAACCCTGAAACATATTGTACAGACAAGTTTCAACATTTCTAGGTTTTAAGAAACTAATATTTTTTTAGTATGCATTATGGCATATTAACATGAATTCTATTAATTTAATATTACATAGTTTATGTGAACTTAATTTTTAGGATCTTATGAATGCAAGTTGTGTTTAACTTTACACAACAACGAGGGTAGCTACTTGGCTCATACTCAAGGAAAGAAGCATCAGGCAAATTTAGCTCGTCGAGCTGCAAAGGAAGCCAAGGAAGCACCACAACTATTGGCACCAGAAAAGCCAAGGATAGAACCAAAAAAGTTTGTTAAAATTGGACGTCCTGGTTACAGAGTTACTAAGCAAAAGGATCCTGAAAATGCACAACAAAGTTTACTATTTCAGGTGGATTATCCAGGTAAATGTCACAGCATAAAGTCTAAAAATTTTGATAATTTCTTTTCCTGGCATATATTAAAAATCAATTTTGCATGTTTATTTGATAGAATTATCTATTACTAAAATTTTAAGGTACATATTGTATGTATAAAAAAATTTTTTTTTATTTTTTAATATAGTTTATATAATATTTTTCATTACATAACATTTTTTGGTTTATTTTTTATTATGTGGCCCCTTCGGTTAAAACCCTCTCTATCCATGGTATTTCGCATCCAGTCTATTCCTTCTGTTTTTTATGTCGTCTGCTCATCTTTTTTGCCATCCTACTTTTCTTTTGGCTGGCAGGCCCCGCCATTTTGTTGTTACATTAGTCCACCACCTGTCTTTTTATTGTGCAGAATGCCCCGCCCAGTTCCATTTTTATTTCAAACTGAAGAGCATCTGTCATTTTGGTCTTCTTTTGGATGTCTGTGTTTCTAGTTTTTTGTATTCATTTAGGTTTCAAAATACTTCTTTCCATCGCATGTTTACTGACTAGTAAGTATAACTTATGCCAGCCAGACATAAAAAATTAACTACTCAAATTGTAAACACAAAATTTGTTACTGTAATCATTGAATATCTGATGGACATAGATTAAAAATATATATATTATACTATGAGTAGAATATTTTTTTTAATTGTACTGAACACTTCTAATTACACAATAATTTGTAATTTTTCAGAGATTGCTGAAAGTGTGCAACCTAGACATCGTTTCATGTCGGCCTATGAACAAAAGATAGAACCTCCAGATCGTAGATGGCAATATTTATTATTTGCTGCAGAGCCATATGAGACCATTGCATTCAAAGTACCTAGTAGAGAGGTAGAGAAACATGATTCCAAATTTTGGACTCATTGGAACAAAGACACCAAGCAGTTCTTTTTGCAATTTGCTTTTAAAATGGAGCCATTGCGTATGCCACCTCCACCTCCAAAAATGTGGGAAAACCATGGAATGCGGTTACCTCCACCACCCGGAACTCCAATGATGGGTGTACCACCCCCACCTCCATTGTTGCCTGTGCCCCCACCACCACCATCGATGTAGTTTTAATTGCAGAAAATAAACAATATTTAGATGTCTCCTTGTTTTTATTTTATGATCAATTTCCAATCTTTTTCCTGTTAATAATACATAGTGCATCTAACTAAACTCGAATATTATGTTTAATCTATAAATATAACAGCACATGTGTTATTCTTAAATTAATAAAACATAGCAATACAGCTTAGTCAAAGCGAGGTAATAGTCATAAATTGTGTTCTTCTTAGTTGTTTTTACTGTTATTATTTTGGAATACACGATTATTTTAATTTTTCACTGAGCTAGTAAGTAATCACTAATTATTTTTAACTTTGCATTGTCAATTTCTAATACTTTTAATTTCTTTACTTATTAAAAAGTGTACTACTACAAATATAATGTATCTTGAATTCCTTATATTTCACAAAGATTATTTTGATTTAATATGTAAATGTAACAGAATTACATACTAATTCTTTGAAAACCCCAAACAAAAGTAAATAAGCAGATAATCACTGCGATATGTGGGGAAAATTTGATTATTATATGACAACACTGCTTCTGATTTGTTCTGTTTATCCAAATCCGTAATACACAATAATTAAAAAATAAACTCATTTTCGCGCGCGCATTTCGTCAACCGTCACACATTAATACAAAACAAACTATAAAACCGTTAACCCTATTGTTTACCTACCTCTAATTTTTCAAATTACCTTTTACACCTACTGTATTTCGTTTATTATTAATAATATAATTATAAGGAATATTCTTAATTTTGCACTTACGTAGTATAATTATGTTCTCGAAAGCAAAACGTTTTGAACCACCTGGTAAGTTTAAATTTTATTATACATTTTGTGGAATTATCATCTGATTTTGCATTTACCATATCATTTGGGGGCGTCGTTTTTCTCTTTCATTCATCCCTGCTAGCAGTCATCTCGTTATTCACTCCCATACTTGTCACATCACTGTAGTATACCTGTTTTATTTAATCTAAGTAATCCTTTTTATTTCTTAGCACTTCAAAAAAGTCAGTCGACTGCAAATGCACAAAAAAAGCATGATAATGAGAAACTCAAACCAGTTAAAACGCCTGTACACACTGTTCCTGTCAAGCCAAAAAGCTCTACCTCTGTAAAAGCACCAGATTCACAATCCCAATGCAGCTCAACGCGAAGTGTTACATCATTTGTCACAGTAAGAATTATATATTAACTTAACGGTAATATGGAATGGAAATGGTAAACTTAATACATAAAAATCTATTCATTTTCACAATTGTTTTCTTGAATTGGGTAGATAAAGCATGAATGATTTTATCTATACCTGTAACAGGACATCAGTACTAATATTCTGTTTCCTTTATAATCTTAACATGTTTTGTGTTATTTTATTAAGAACGGTAATAAAAAAAATAAAAAGGACAATGAAGTACATATTATTATGCAATAGAGTACTTTACTATTCAATGTATTAGTTAATTTTATGTAAAAAGCATATACTCAACACCATTATCCTGAAAACAATCTGCAAAGTTCTAGTTATTCAATTTAAATGAGTTCAAATTTAACAGTGTTTAATTTGTTTATAGTTTCTTTTGTTAAGTTAAATAAAATTCATCACTTGTTAACTTATTAAAGAACAAAATTAAACTTTTGCAATAAATTTGTTTTCATACATTATTAAGAAATCATTCTGATTCAGGTAATGCATATTTAGATTGTCACATAAATTTTATTGTTCTATTGTCTATTGTTTGTACATGTGTTTATTTATTTACAGCCAAAGCCAAAGTCATCAGTTTTAGTACCAAATAATAATAGAAAACCTTTTGGATCTTCTACAAAGAGTAACTGCAACAAAAATGATTATAAAGCAAAAGATGAGATTATTAAGACACAGGAGGTTGAAATCAGGTATGTTTTATTCTTGCATAAATAATTTTGAAATGAAAACTCATATCAGTATCAAATTAAGGAAAATTTTACTGTAATTTAAAATTATAATATAAATCTTTTTGTGCACAGAAACAAGGATCACACTATAGCCGAATATAATAAACAAATTGAAGACTTAAAAAATAAAATTGGTATCTTACAAAAACAATCTAAAGAACTATCAAAATACTCTAAAGCTTTTGATAATTTGGACATAAAATTCTCTCAGATAACTTTGTATGAAGAAGGAAGTTCGAGAAGTGAAAAGAGTAAATTTGATACAACTGATTATAACAGTTTAATTATTGACTTAAAACAGAAAATATATGAATTGGAACTTCAGTGTGACAGACTAGATCAAGAAGTTAGTAGTAAGCAAGTAGAATTATCATCTCTCGAAGAAGTCATTGCCATCAGGGATAGTTTGTGTAAAGATTTGCAAGAGAAATTGACTAATATGGAGAATTCCTTAGATGAAAATCGTCAGAGACTTGAAATGGTTAAGGGGCATCATGCTCTAGCTTTGGAAGCAAATGAAAGTATCAGAAGGGAATATAAAGCAGAACTTGAGACTCTAAAGAGTAAAGCAGAAGAGGAAAAACAGTCAATTATAAGTAAAAGCAAGTCAGAACAAGAAAGTATTAAATCAAAATATAATGAATGGATTGAATCTATCAAAAATCAATTGATGAAAGAGAAAGACGAAGCAGTTTTTGAACTTCAACAAAAACTTACCACAAGTGATCGTGAAATGAAAGCTAAACTTGAACAAATCAATGAAGCTACACATGAAAAACTAAGATTATGTGAGATTCAATTTGAAGAACGTACCAGAAACATACAAGAAGAGTGGTTACAACAAAAATCCAAAGTAATTTATTTGGAAAAGGAAATAAAAGATCTAAAGTATAATTTAAATCATGCTGAAGACCAAAGTGAAATTTTACAGAAGGAAATCACCAATTTGAAAAATGAAAATGATTTGTTAAAAGTGGATAAAATAAACATAATGAAAGAAGCTGATGAACTTAAAGAAGAAACTAAGAAGAAAGTTATTAATTTTGAAAATGAAATAAATAGGCTTACAGTGGAAGTTGACAGAGCAGCTAAAGAAAAAAAGAAATATGAAATGTCTTTGTCAGTCACAAGAGATATAGTACAAGTTTTAACAATGCGCTTAAGAGATACTGATAATGAATTGGAACTGTTGGAGGGCAAAGTTCAGACTTTGTCAAGTTCTAAGGAATTGCTTGATAATGAACTTACTAAGTACAAAACTAAACTTAACAACACAATTTTAGAATGCAGTGAGTACAAAGAGGCATTAGTAAACATATTGAAATCTAAAGCTGCACTTGCCAAGGAACATAATCGTATTATGGAACACAATGTATCTTTAATAGAAAGTTTGCAAAATGTTGAAATAGAGGCTTACAGAGAACTTGGTTCTATAAAAAATGAACTTATAGAAGATGTGGAATTGTTAAAAAAAGAATCCAATTCTCAAATCCAAATGCTTCGTGATGAAGTAAGTTTTTTAAAAATTATAACTTCTTTCTTACTTATTATATAATTAAACTTGTTTCCTACTGACATGTATTGTTTTATGTATATACTTTATTTACATTATTTTATTTAGGTGGAGAAGAAGCGAGAACTATGTAGATTGGCACAAGAGCATGCAGATCAAGCTACAACAGCGGCAGAACAATCTCGTTCTTTATTAGGTCAAGCTGCTGCAGAGATTACCCGGCTAGAAACTGAAAACCAACGCTATCAGCAACAGGTAACTTAAAACTTGTGTTGGTATATAACTGAAGTTTTTTAATCACTGTTACTCGATGGACGTAGTATTTACAAGGAGGTACTCGTAAATGCATCATATTTACCCATTTTAATGATTTGTTTATTTTATGATCCATTTATTTTTCAGATTCAAGACCAACAATCGCTAGTAGTTGAGTTGTCTCTGCTACGTCAGGAAAATGAAGAACTTACCATGAGTATGGCGAAACAGTCTTCATTATTCGATAAAATGAAGAAAGATATGGAACAAAATCAGCCACAACCAAAGTCGCCGTCAGTAATAAGAAAAACAAATAAAGTGGGCAAAGAGAATATGCAGTCTATTCTCTCGCCTTTGAGAGAACGTAATCACTAATTTAAGAATTGCTAAGCTTATAATCGGGTTATTTTCACTGTTATACATAAACGTAACATTTAATTTATTGTTTAATTTATTAATCTTTTAATGTTATTGACAAACAAAATTGTGAATTTTTTATGTTAGTGATCGTTGTGTATGAATAATAAATTCTTTGTATTTTCTACATTTTTTGTTACTTGCGCATTACCTATATACCCAACTAGCAACCGACCCGTCTTCGTATCTGCTCCATTATTATTGCTACTCCAATTCTATTGGTTATAGCGTCATGTTATATAGTCTATAGCACTCAGGGATATAATACCATTAAACAGTGAAAGAATTTAAAAAATCGGATCAGCAGAACTGCAGTCCCCCACTCAAAATTTGTTTATAATATTAGTATAGATTTAAATTCGTATTTAGTTGTCAGCTCACTATTCTATTTTCTGCTACCGTTCAGCTTTACTCACACAATATTCGGTCTGCATTTAGATGGGTTTGATACATTGATACGACAATGTTATTTATAACGTAACACCCATCTTACGTAAGAAATAACATGTTCGGCATTTATTGTGTAACTATGGCTTATAGACATTCAAAATATATAGTTATCTGATATACCCCTAAGGCATTACCAAGTTTAGTGTTTTTTTGGATTATGGAATAGTGAAACAAAAGAGAATAACACAAGAAAAAGTAGAGTGGAGAATAATATATTACGTTCGTATATCAAAGACGAAATTTATCTTTCTAACGATTTACGTTGGATGATATTTTATGGTCCACACCATTAGAAGCGATAAGGATAGAGTCAGAGTAAATACTCCACTTAAGCAAATTATTTCTAGAGAACATCACACCAGAAACTAGATAATATGTATCACATGGAGGTCTACTTGGTCTACGTGGTTGGATAGATGATACCGATACTAGTACGAATTACAAATCATTGATCGATGGACTAGCGGTTAGCATACCAGTACTTCCGATAGTCGAGGGCTCGATACACAACGGTATAATTTACAATTCACACGGTATAATATATATGATTCATGAGTATAAGTGTTTGTATTGGTCAGGATGATTACGTGTGTATTTATATAAGTTGTTTTGTACGCATACCACAAGCTCTGCTTAGCTTGGGTATTTGCCTTTAGTGTCATCTAGTGCACTGTGTGAATTGTCCAGTCTATTATTATTTGCTCGCTGTCTCCACACTTTGATAGTGATAGACAGTTCTGGAATGTTTTTGTTATAAATACAAGTTATCAGTCTCACATTTATTTATTTAGATTAATTTACAAAACGATGCAAAGCTATATTTAGTAGTGCAATAACTTAAATACATAAAGCATTTTTGGCAAGACAGTGTGGACACATTCAGTTATTTTAATAAAGATATTACAAAATTCGATGATCTAACTACTTTACTGGGGTTAGGAAAAGGTAACATCTTTTTGGGCATAAAACTTGCTCCTCATAATTGTTTCCGAAATTCAAATTAAGAGATATAAGTTACTCCTACGACGTACGTCTACCTACGACCTACCTAAGTTATTATTTTCTCCGTCTTGTAAATTACCTATTTATAAGTCTGAAAACTATAAAATATTAAGAAAGAATATCACTCACGTTGTTAAAAAAATATTATTTTTAGCAACGTGAGCGATGAAACTAAACCTTAACGCGGTCAGTTATTTCAAGTTAGTTAACACAAAATTTTTCGCTGAAATATATTACGGTACACAAACTGCGACAGTAGCGTCTAAGTCAAGTGTAACTATCTTCATTCCTTCAAAACTTTAGAGATCTTTCGTTTTTAACACAATAAATATCGTATTTAACACTAATGTGTCCACAAATAACATTTAAACACGAACGACAAAACTATTCCTACATCTTATAAATATGAGAAAAGTTTACATACATCAATTTTTTTAATCAGCCTAATAGACTTAAAATAATCACATTTATTGAGATACGGACATCGATTTACTACTACCAATCCTTACATAACTATTTGAATCATTAAGAGTGCATTTTATCTTATTGGACTAAATGTAAATTTTTAACAAACATTCGTCTGAAGTACAAAGGGATGTCTATTACAGTAATAAATACAGGTAACATTATTTCAACTAAGGTTCCTTACAACCACATAATGAAAATAGAAATACTAGAGATATACTTAACTGTAGGTAATCTCTTTCTACCACAAATTATTCGTGTTAAGATCAGATTAACTATATTAATATTATCATTAAATTTTTGGTAACTTTCAATTTTATTTTTTATGTTCAGTCTTTAATACATTTCAAAACAATTTCTTTGTTATTTACTTATGTAGTTTAGTGGGGTAAATTATATAAACTGCCATAAACTATGTATCAAAAATTGTTAAGTATATCAGTCTTCACAAAAATAAGTATTATTAACCATAAAAAATAAAACAAACTAACCTAATCCATTTAGCCTAAACTATGAGTATCATTGGTTGATATGCATTTATATTTTAAGAAAAGCAAATACACAAATTGAAGCAGTAACTGTGCAAAACAAAAAAAACAAACGTGGTCTGCTTCAGCATACACATGAAACAAACACAAATACAGTACAATAATGGAGTAATAGAAATTTTATCACCACACATTATTTGAATACATTTATAAAAAAAAGTCTACACTGTTTATACCTAGCGTATAGGTATGTGACAGTATTTCATACAGACATATGATGAATAATGAATGAACTGTTTTAATAATCAATTTTATAAAAAAGTTGTAAACAAAATTATTATCTTATGAAGGTAATAATTTTGTTTACATCACATTTATAACCGATTATAACATTGCCATAAGAGCCAATTGTTTACATAATACTTAATCAAGACATTTCTTCCATTTCCTATAGTCTTGAATTCCAGTGCCAATTCGACAAACGAGACGGAATAAAATTTAGGCCGATCTAATATGAATAATTTATAATGTTAGTATGAATGTAATCACCGTTAAGTTCTTCTAAACGAAAACTTAACTGTCAAAATGTTACTTTGGTACTCCAATATAATTTCCATAACCTACACACAAATATACATACACTGATTATACAACTCCTTTTAGTCAACATGTGCATACCTTGGCACTATATCTTCTTGAATTAATAAGTCGCAAACAGGAAGTCCATGCAGAGGCAGTAAATCTTGTGCCACTGCGATTAATCCAGTTTCCGGTCCAGATAATCTACCATGCCAAACGTAATAATAGAAAAGCTGTTGCATGGCTGCCATAAAACGCCGCTGTTCAGGTCCTTCTGAGTCGAAAGTACCAAGAATGGCTTCCACATCCGAGTTAATTCCAGCTATTCCAGAGCCTACAGCACCGCCACCCGCTCCGGCACCCATCACCACATACATAGGAGCAGAAAGACGCAATCGAGCCAAGCTCACAAGGGGACAAATGGTACGTATTGAAGATATCAATCCAACAAGGCCTTCATATGATTTATTGAAATGCTTGAATATGGAAGATGTCAAATTTTTCTCACCAATAATACTAGAATTTACCATTTTTTCTACCATTTCAATAGTCCAATTCAAGTGCTTGTTTCGCAACAGATCGGAGTGATCTGAATGCTGTGTCGTTCCAAATATCATTGGTCTGAACACTTTATCTTTACCAGACTCTTTAGCTTCTTTTTGAGCATCCCAACTCTCATAAGCATGTACTCTAAGCAAATCTCCATCTAGTACTAGCCAGGAATGTTTAAATTCACCAGCTACAGGTAGGGTACCGCCATTACTACCCAACCAAATATCTGGAGTGGCTGTCAAGATTTCCATTGCAGAAATATTTCGCAAGCAATCTATATCATTGCACTTGCTTATTTGTTTAAACTGATCATTACTTTTATGAGCTTGTTCCAGAGGTTCACCGGGAAAGATAACCGAAGGTGACGATAACCATACTCTAGAATATAATTTATGAGCTTTGGTAACAGTAGTCAAAGCTGCCGTCAGAGTTGCTCCAGCTCGATGGCCTAATAAAGTAACAGACTCCGGATCTCCTCCAAAGTGTTTTATATTATGCTTAACCCATTGTAATGCAACCAACAAATCACTAATTGCATAATTTCCTGAGGTTTCAGGGTATTTAGTCTTAGATATAACATCTAGAGCCAAGAATCCAAATGGACCTAGTCTGAAGTTGGGCCTTACAAATACTACTTCTTTGGTACGAGCATATAAAGCAGAAGGCTGTGTTGGACTTATGCCACCAGCTAAAGTATTAGCTCCGATCAATACTACCACTGGCAATGGAGAGTCGTAACGAACATGAGGTGTGACAATATCTAAAGTTAAACAATCTTCTTCACCTGTGATGGTTCCATTTTCTAGAAACTGTATGCAAAGTGGTCCACGTTCATGTGCTTCTCGAGTACCATTCCAACACATGCTTATATTGTTAAGAGGTTGGGCATATGTGAATCTTTTTTCCTTAATTGGTGGTACAGCATAGGGGATATTGTAGAAATTATAAACACCCTCATCAAGAGTTCTGAAATAAAATTGAAACAACAGTAAATAGAATAGAATAGAAAATCTTTTATTCAAATAAACTTAATTTAAGCATTTTTGAATAGGTATAGTTATCATTCTTTTAATCTACCGCTCATTCGGAAAGTTGTCTCATCACAAGAAGAATGAGCAAGAAACTTACGTGTTGCTCTTTTAAATAATCATTGTAACTTTACATTTCCAGTTCGAAAGGTGTGAATACAAACCACCCACTGGTACTAATTTATTTAGATATTAAGTACACAATAGGATTAAAACAGTCCTAGTGACTAGAGCAGACCACTCCCCACAAGTAGCACTCATTCACGAGTATGAGGTATGAGCCAGCCATCACTGCGCTCTACCACATTTTAGCGAAAGATCCAAATAGCATTGCAAGTAACTTTTTCTTTGAGGTCCTTGAAATGGTAAATAAGTGATCAGACTACCTTATGGTAAGTAATCCTACATCATGATATAGCATTTATACTACTCATGAGATGTGATACTGGAGGACTAAAATGTCATATCTCCATGCCGTGTAATTTAAACACCGTTACTAGCCCTTCAACCGAAACACATCTTAGGATGCAACCTGCTTGGGAGCTTACAGGTAAGAACAGAGCCATATTAAGCTAGCGCGGAACAAATCACAAACTAAAAAAATTAAAGAATAAAAACTTTTTGGACAATATTTTTTGTGCAACAAAAAATATTGTCCAAAAAGTTTTTATTATGTTCAGACAGGAGTGAAGTGCAGGATTCCTTAATAAGCTGGTTCAGTAGCATTTGCTACTCTTCCTACTATGTTAAACTGGCACCGGGTAAGGCAGAACTAAACAAAGACAACTTTGTACAAAGTTTCTAGTAAATACATAAAAAGGTAATTAATAAAGAGATATGAAACCTAAAATGTAGTAGTAGGATAAACTTGTATTCAGCAAAATAAACGAGTAAATATCAGTAACTCACCCTTCTACTGGTCCACATGCAGTCAGCGTGGTCATATAACGTCCGAGACGCAAAGGGCGCTCAGTTGGCGGACCTGCTTGTGCCCCTATGATGATGCCAATGATGACGGCTAACAGCACCAGCAACACCAGAGCACATACCACAATGTCATCTATAAAAAGTAAATGCATTCTTATTTTTTAATGAACTTCAAAATAAAGGTAATATGAATACAGTTGAATGGAAGAGAAAATCAAGTTATGCAGATCTGAAATGATAATGATATGGGATAAGGAAAATGAATTGACAATATATAATATTTATTATTGAAATTTAAGGCGGATGAGCACAGTTAGTATTTTATATATTAAATATGAAACTGTATTAGATTAAATTCTCCATTTACATCATCTTAACTAGCAATTTGTGACACAAGATACATAACATCCTAGTATCATAAGCTGTGCATGAAAATTATTATAACCCTGTTATCAGTGTTAGGAACTTTTCATGTTACATGAGCAACAAACTTTCATCCATACAGTCATACTTTCGCCTTTATAATAATAGCTATTATTACATAGTATTATAACAAAATTTTATAAAGTTACCTATAATGAACTTTTTCTGGCGAATCCTTTCTTTTAACGGGAGTTTGGTAGCAACTTTCCCTTCCTCTGTATCCTGAAACATAAAAATAGTTATGGATTTTTAACACACAAATATTTTGACTCTAAAATACGACATTTATAAATACCCAATTAATAAATTGTTTACTCAATGAAAAATACTTACAGCCACATCTAATTTAACATTTTCCATGCCATCATTTGGTGAATCCAGTTTGTCTTCTAATGTTTCCATAGAAGCAAGAGTAGCCTCTGCATTGGCCGTATTTCTTTGGAATACCTTTGGATATTTAACATTGAAAAAGTTTCTTTTGTTTGGTGTATTTCCTTCTGTAATAAATAAATATAATATATGGGTATACCTTTTCTTTAAATTTATATCTTTTATAAAAAATCAATGTGACTTTTTTTAGATTATAAGGATAGGAAGGAAGTTTTAATTAATAAAAAAATATTCTACAATAGGTAATAAATTAAAATACAATTTTTAGATATACAAGATTTCCTCAATTCAAATAGACATTATATAAAATAATGTAATTGCTGTAGATTCTCTATTCTTTCTATTAGGAATTATGAGTGGGATTAACTTTTTATCTATGGCAAAATATTTTGGTCAATGTACATTTTGAATTACTGTTTTCAGGACAATATACTAAAAGGTCCATTTGAATAGAAATTTACTAACCATAAATGGAAATCATACAATCAAAAATAATACAAAAAAAAAATTGTTACATACTTTACATTAATTTTTATGATATTGTATAGCTTCTTAGTTCAAAATTTAATATGATGTTTAGAAAAGTTTAAATATATATAATTTAATAAATAATATATCTAATAAAACGAACATGAAAGTATATCTTGTAATCAAGTAAAAGATAATATAGACATTCCCAATTGCCAATCTCATATAATCAATTTAAATGTTAGGTCTCCAAGATTTTGATGATTCAGTCTTAAACTAGTTGACTCTCAACAGTTTGCTATTATATTTTAATAAGTCAGACACAGAAATATTTACTAAGCAGATTTAATATCTAAAGTAATCAGATTTATAAAATAAGAATATATATGTAAGAAACATCTTCATTTTGTAATTAACAATACTGCTAGATTCCACAATGAACTTCATGTTGTAATTGGACTCCTATAATTCCAAATTCTAATCTTTTAATTGGCTAATTCTTCTTAATATATTCAAGATTGAGAAGAATTAGCCAATTAAAAGGTGTACAAGTGGTTACACTTGCTCACATTTAGTGGTAAAATATCAACAGAACCTGTTCAGGGATTACAGATTTGCAACTATTAGAATGTCACCAATTATGGTAAATAAGGTTGTGTATAAAATAACATACCATTACTTTTTGGTCGGTGCAAGAATTGAGTAAATGGACAAGTATGAAGAAACTGCAAACGATTATGCTTTGGCTTAGAAATGTCATCAGTCTTTTCATTTTCAATATCTTTCTCGATTGCCGATTCATCTTCCTGTTGATTACAAGACACAAATAAAATTGTAAGATATTATAAGTTCAAAAAATAGTAACGCTTTTTCAATGTAAGTAATCGACATGAGCAGTTACCTTAGACTTTTCTTTATCCAAATTTTTTGTAAAGAAACCTGGCATTTTAATAGCTCCTATGGGAATAAACTTTGGTTTCACCTCTCTGCCTTGCTCCGTAACGTCACCTGATAAAGCAGCTTTTACGGGACCTTCGACATCTACATTTAGTTCAGCGCTCGCGTCCATGTTTTCATTGTCAGCCTTTAACATTATTTCTTTTTCTTCGGCTTCAATCTGTTTCTTATCCGGCGTCCCCTTTTCGTCGTCATTCTCCATTTTATTAATATCCATTGTGCTAGTGGTATAAAAGTTAAATGTATTATTCATTGATTTCTACTCATGCAAAACAAAAGAATGCTCAACAATACGTTAGGAAAATAACAGTAATAAAACTTACTAGATATTAATTTATCCGTTTAATAAAATAATTTTTTTTTATTTTGTACTTAGATTGTGAGTAAAATGGTTTATGCTCTCTATAGATTCAAAGAAGATGCCGGTAAAATCGAGCAACAGCCATCGTAAATATGCAAAACGGCTTCGCTTCGCGGCTCATCTGTGTTGCCAACAAAATTTGAGCAAGCGCACTAGGTGGAAGACAAAAAAATGATTTATTTTATATTCTACTAAAACATTTAAAACCAACCAACAAAAATATAATTCGGAATAAAATGCATAAATTAATTATTGTTAAATAGGAATTTAAATATAACACAATTTAATATACACCCATACTAAAATATTTCTTTGATCCTTAGAAAGAGTAGTCACAAGTAAGATATGGTATTAAACTGTACGTGGTAGAACAAAAAATTAACCGAGTGTGATGCACAATATTGGAAACACTATAATAATATGAGAAAAATAATAGTTTAAAGCATACAAGTTATGTCGGTTGAGACATAGTGACTTTGTCACCGCTTTTACGACTGTAAACCTATACCACGGTCATTTACTCCATGTGAAATATTGCTAGTCTGTTTGCGACACTAAAATTACGTCAGTTCGTAACATAAATATAAAATAAACATAATGTAATAATAAATGCAGTCAAAAAAAATGTAGTTGCTCTTTGCCACTTGCGGTTGCTTTAGATCCGGCTCGAATGACCAGGATGTAATGAAAAGATCAAAACCACTATTGAATACATATTTCCTGACCGAAACTATGTTTCATATTATGACAATTATGTATTCCTTTGAGGTGTAATATAAATATGTATAACTTGTTCTTATGATATATTGTACAGATGAGGGGTAAAAAATAAATGTCATATTCTTTATACTATGATGGTGGCAAACAAGCATACGGCCCATCTGATGGTAAGCGGTTACCGTAGCCTTATTATTACTTTTACCATGATTAGAAATGTCACACAGGGTATATCGCAATAAAGACCACACACATTTATTAAACTAATATCTTTATTAAATTAATAGTAACAATTATATATTAAATATTATTAACAATTAATGCTTTTCTAACGCTTTAGCCAGTAAATCATTTATATGTGTTATCAAATTTCTAGGATCCACAATAAGTCCAGCTGTAACCATAGCATTGGAGAACAATTGTTGCGCCACCATGTTGGCCAATTCTTTGTCATTTGAAATAAGTTTGTGCAGCTTTATGATTATTGGATGCCTGAAAAGGAAGTATAAATTAATAACTTAAGTACATAAATTCGAGGGAAAGCGTTTGTTACTAATGCGGACTACAGTTAGATCGCCCATCTGGGTGTTACTTAATAAGGTTGCATCTCCCTTACCTCTCTCTATTCAATACATGCTACTAATATCAACATTTCATACTAGTCAGATTTTCTTTAAACACTGTATTTGTTGAAAATAATGTTGTATTACAAGTTTATATTTTCTATTACCTAGCATTAATTTCTAGCTGTGGTCTCAACATGGCATATCGATTTTCTTCACTTAGGTTTTGAGCCTGTGTTCTAATAAAGTGTCGCGCGGCTGCCATTTCGGGGACAATGATGACACACGGGTGAGAATCCAGCTTTTGCGTAGTGCGAACTTCAAACACTTTGCCAGTTAAGTTGGATTTTAAGAACGAGATTGTTTCATCTACTTCTGTCTTCTGTAGGGTTTCACTTCCTGTTAATAAGAATGTATCTCTAAGAAAAATGCTTATAATAATTTTCCAACTAATATTCAACCTGTATTATCAACTTGTTCCAGTTTGTTATCAAGTTATCATACAACTCGGTTCGTTTTGCCAACTATTAAATGGTTCATACAAATATATATATGTTCATACTTACCAAAAGTATCAAATCATTCTGAATAACATAGTTTCTGATAAATATTTTTTGTATTAGATATAAAGTCAACCGGTTTTGAATATTACAAATTATATCCGGTAATATTTTCTTATATATTAAGACTATGTATATATATAGAAATTTAAGATAGCTAGTTAGCATTGACCATTTAAGAAAAGAAAAAAAATAATTTATCATCAGATTGCAAATTTTCGTGCATTCTCTAAAGATTTTTATCAGACAAAATCAGACACGTAATCATATGCAAATTGAATTTTATATAAAATAAGCTTTATTATTTGTTTAGATCTGTTTGTGTGAAAAAGTGAAACGCGAATTTAACATTTTGTAAGTAATTAAATATATACTTAAAATATACCAAAACCAACCCTAACGAAGTAAAAAATAAGGGTTACCTATGATTGATTCAGTTGTATCTGCAGAGTCCTTTTGCATAATATCATTTTCAACAGAAACCAATGATCTGCCGCCAAAATCCTTTAACTCCAGTAAAACTAATTCGTCATACATTTCATAACAGAACAATACTTCGAGGTCCCGTTTTTTGAGCGATTCATAATATGGCGACGTCTGAGCTAATTCTCGGCTGAAATTAATGTCATAATACTCAATACAGGAAACATAATTATTACATGCCTTTTCTAGCGAAATTTAATTTCTATATAATATAACTGTAATACCACAAGTTGTACAAAAACGACTACATTACAACAAACCGCTTGCCTCACAAACATGCCTTTCCAAATTAGTCTCTTACGACGTCTTTGTTGCAAATACGGTGGTATGTTAAGAGTACACAAAATATAATAGTTTATAATTTTGTATTTAATTTTGCCAGGTTTATTTTCGGCTTATTTTTATCAAATAAGGCATTGCTACTTACAGGCAGGTTTTTTTTTAACAAACTAATGTAGTTGCTTACGTTGTACATGTTATTGTAATCATTTTGTATTAGTTTAATTATTTATTTTAATTCTTTAGTGATAGCAGCCTAGAGAAGGAATATGTTTAATCAACAGGTATATTGGTCATCTTCAATTCCAACAAGCCAATAAAAAACCTTTAGCACATTAATAAACATCCTTGACGTCACAATATAAGAGTTTTGCTAAACCATAGAGATTGTCATATTATTATAGTTTTGTATATAGTGTATGATATATATATTACCTAACATAAACTAACTAAAAATAGAATTTGTTAAGCCAGCAGCTTGTGCGTTGGTATAAAAAATGTTTACCTAGGAGCAGCTAGATAATAAATAGATTTCTGATCATCTTTCTGACGTTTGCTGTAATCTGATAGGGAGGTCCTTACGCCGTTTTCAAGTTTTGATGATTCAAACCTAAGCAGCTTTGCTATTTCTTCCTAAAAGCAAAGTATATAATTAAAATACACATAATACATATTCTATACTATACATATAGAAAATATTAAAAGGTATAAAATAAACCAGAAGCAAACATGAAAATTTTGCACATTAAACAAAATCATCAATTCTTTACTTATAAAATTATTACATAGTATAAATTAAAGTAGCTGTCGCTGTCTGTCCCTATGTATGCTTAAATCTTTAAACCGATTTTGAAGCGGTTTTTTTTAAATACTCGTAGATAGTGATTCTAGAAAAAGGTTTATATATACATATAATACATGTACACCCGTGCGAAGCCCGGGCGAGTAGCTAGTTACCTATAAAATAATGTTATTATATTGTAGTATATGTATTACATGTATATACCTTTTCAAGAGGACTTTGACTAGTTACGATGGCTTCCTTCAAGAATATGGAGTACTCTCTATAGAATGCGTCATATCCAACAGGATCCTTCTGTGACATCTCAACCATAAATTTAAGAAATCGATTTGTTAGGACCGTCCTTAGTTTTCTGTAACAATGTGTATTGTTAATAATTGTATACTGTTTTAAATTTGACGCGGTCATTATTTATATAGTAATATTTTACCACGTTTTATATTTATCGAGTTCCCGATATTTTGTCAATAATTGGTCAATATAAATTAATGAAATAATAATAAATATTTTTATACTTACGTTATCAATGCACTATTTTGCAATAGTTCTCGACTAAGATTTAGAGGAATATCTTCCGAGTCAACAACACCTGAAATATAAAATTGTATTGTTAAGAAATCCTAAGCAAACGTCGACACAGAATAGAAAACAAACAACCAAGAGTGGAGAAAATCCGTCCTTCAACAGTTGGTACCATGCAACAGGAAGGTTCTAACAGATTCCACTGAACAGAGAGTAATGATATGATCATTCTAACTATATTTCACTTATATCCAATAGTCAACTATGTAAAAGATAAATGTCGACTATTTCTTCCATTGAAGCTTTAAAGGCCAGCGCTGTGGCCAGTTGGTCGCATTATGATGTCTGCAGATGCCTCACCAAATACTTTTCCCCTAGGTTTGGAGAACCAAGGGAACTCACTGAAATTGGGTACAATTTATTTAATACATTACAAGAATGATTTAATTGATCCTTACCTTTAACAAATCTTAACCATTTTGGCAAAATATTCTCTGCTTTGCTTTTGATTAAAATCTTTCTAGAATATAAAGCTACACCAACATCAGAATCTCGAGATAGCTCAAATAAGCCTGGCTTTCCTTCAGGAACATATAATATAGATCTTATGCTCAGTGGAGCATCTGTCTTATAGTGCAGTGTAAAACGTGGCTTATCATAGGAATTGCTAATGAATTTGTAAAATTCTATATGCTGCTCTTGAGTTACTTCCTTTGGATCCATTAGCCACAGTGGCTGAAATATAACATCAAACTAAGTATTTTGAGTGTTGATTTTTTACGCAAGTAAAATGCATGGGCCCTGCATCAGCCTCAGTTATTTCAGCTGCTAGGAAGTTTGCTTTGTATGATGCTTAGCAACTCAAAGTTTTGGCAGTGAACAGTGTACAGATGCATGATGATTTAGTCCTTTGCAAGTAGTAGTAAGATGACAATGACTAGAATACCGAGGATTCTCAAACATGATATCATCAGATGTCTATATGTCAGCTTGTTCGCAATTCCAGTAATTTAAAAAACTGAATGTCCCGCATATATTATAGGTAATATTAATATTAGCATGTTCAACTGACATTGCGATCATCATGATGACGGTAATTGAGAATCATCCAGAATAATAGTCATTTATGTTTTGTACTTTTAAAAAATCTTTTATAAATCATGAGGCATATTAATTAATAAGCATACCAGCTTATTAAAGAATTACGAAAAACAATTCTAGAAATTGAAAGTAATTAAAAGAGGGTCTATATCAGTAAAAAAAAGTATTTTATACTACATTACCTTGATAGAATTGGTTTGCTCATTATTCAGGAAGATTGGACTGCCAATAAAGTTGCTATATTTCTTTATTATATCTGTCAACATGTATAATTTTAGTTATAGAATTATTTCGTTCTGTTAATAGATGCTTATTTACATTAGTATTGTCTGTATGAGATTATGACCTCTTATTTCTTAAGATTTAAAGAATGAGGCTGTTCACATGACAACATCTGTGGTTCTGTTTATGGGTGACTACTATCGCTTTCTATCAGGTTGCCATTCCAGTTATAAGTTAAAAAAATTATGCCCATAGGAATATTTAAAGTTATTGTTACAAAAATATTTAAATTTTTGTAAGGACAACTATTATTATTATACTAATATTCTACTCTCCTAATTAGAACTGCAACAAACATATTACAATTTGGCATGTTTGTTGGATAAACAGAAAAACTTAATTATAAAACATCAACATACTTTTTACTGTATCATCATCTGCAAACTCTCTGCAATCTGTTTTAAGATGTACCACAATTTTAGTTCCTATAGAGACACCCTCTGCTTCTTGAATTTCATACATTCCTGACCTAAACAAAAGAAATTAGATTTACAGGGTAATTTAGAAGTTTGTGGAATGTCCAATCTATTTAGTTTGTAACATAACATAACTATATTTTAATTTTAAACTATTTTGAAAGTGACAAGTAAGAGAAGAGTATGAAACAGTTCAAAAACTAATACTAATGTTTTAATCAATAAGGTAGAAAGAACATAGGAGTAAATGAAATATACCCATCTGATAGCCATTTGTATCCTGGAGATCCTGATTTACTGCTTCTAGTGTATACCTCTATTTTTTCAGCGACCATAAAAGCAGAATAGAAACCTACTCCAAATTGGCCTATAATTGAACTAGCCTGTTCTGCACCTTGCTTTTTAATCTCTTCAATGAATGACTTGGATCCAGAACGGGCAATGGTTCCCAAATTTTGAGTGAGTTCCTCTTTTGTCATACCAATACCAGAGTCCTAAAATATAATAAAGTAAGGATATGAACCAAGATAAGATAGATTCAAAACATATCATAATAAATCTGTCAATGAAAAGATCATGGCTATAAGTAATGTTTTTATTCCAGTATTTTATAATTACTATTATCAACAACTTATATACTGCAAGCAACAATTAGTTTTTACTTTCTATTCTACAACACAGAAAATAAGGACATTATTACACAATAGTACATTATATAATTTTACACTGTGCAAGAGGATACCAATATTTTTTTTAATTAATATGTCACAATAATAAATTTATAAATACCTGGAATGTAATAGTTCTATTTTGTTTATCTGTTGTTATCCTAATCTCTAGAGCCCTGTCTGTTTCCACCAGTTGGGGAGAATCTGCAGCCACACTGACACTTAGGTAACGGAACTTTTCCAAAGCATCACTGGCATTTGAAATTAATTCTCTGATGAATACCTAAAACACAAAAACAAGTTTATTGTTCAAATTACTGTTTTAATACACAGAACATAAATACTAATATGAGTTAACAGTTATTGTTCAAATATTACATTCAGCCCTTCAATGAAGTTATTTTAATAATAAAAGAAGAAAGCCCATAATTTGTAAGAGACATTATATTTATTACAGCATAAAGAATTATTAAAATATGTACATATTCTAACAAAAACCTTTGATTTTATTTATATTCTGTTTCTTTTACATAAATTAACACACAAAGTTTTTAGGTTCTGGTAAGAATCTACATCACACCATTTGAGCTCTCGCTGTAAACACTGCTTAGGAATGGGCCCTAACCAGAACTTATCTTGTCTGAAATCAGTCATGACGATATTAATATTATTATGATTACTTCTTTGTCTGAATATAATGATCTGGCCACAATATCCAATAACATGCGTGTCTCAGCCTGAAATTCCCTCTTTTCTGATTCACCTTTTAGTTGGTCAGTTTGCTTTTGTTCTGTTGCAGTACTGAATCTTCTATATTTTGTAAATGATAAAGTGTTCTCTAAAAAAATAGCATAAGGTTATAGTATGTGATAATATAAAGCTTATCAATATAACATTATATTATTATATATATAGACCCATCACTAGAATATATTCTAAATTTATGAATCTAGCAATGATGTATTTACGTATAATACAATTGTTATATTATAAATTTTTGCACTAATTTTAATAACTGAGATTAATTTACATTTTTTAGAAATAAGATCATCAAAGATCTTTGCTGGTCATTAGCTTATCTGACGGTACACCACTGTGAGAAATATTCAAGTATTTGCTTCTGAAGTTTCTAGATAAAGCACACATGCTGGTAGATCTACCTAACCAAGCATTGTCTAATCTGTTTGGCAATTTAGTCTCTTCTCTAAAACATGTTGAAGCGATGTTAATAATATGCAAAAAGATTGTTTTTTTTAAGCTTTACTTTAATAATGAAGTAATTACTAACCGGTTCCATAACCTGTTAAATGAAAACTACTGATAGTCAGTTGTCTTGATTTTTTACAATTATGAAATAATGATTGTGTAGTAAATATCCGGGGCCGAAGTTTTGTGCGCAAAGACAACATAATGAAGCTTGTTTATTTATGTGTTATGTAACAATAATTATTTAATAAATTTAAAACAATTTTCAATTAAAATACAAAATAGTGAAAATAGCAATTAAAAATTATTTTTTATTATTTTCAGCACAGATTATACAGTAAAGTAAAGCAAAGCACAGATCAATCTATACAAATTAAAGAATACAGATGACAAAATTGAAAAATAATGAAGTAAGTGTTACTAAATAATTTGCGTGGTTTCCCCACAAATGTTGTTGATATTTCCATAAAATTCATGTATGGAGGAAAAATCTTTCAATATAGAAAATGCCATTTTTTGCCATTACCCACTCTGTATCCCTGCTCTGCAGTTTATGTTGATTAAAATGTGTACTGTTACGTGTCTATCTACATTTATTTTAGATAAATAATTTTCTCACTAATAATATTAGTTTTATCTTTAAACTGGAATAAAAAACATTGAAATGACAACACAGTATCCTAAGCCCAACATTGTTTTTAAGTTTTAGTAATTTTGGTCGGGCTAAACAGGATTTGTATCCAGAGCCGTAAAATACATATAAATAGAAAAAGAAAATTTAAAACCGCATTGTTTGTAAATAATTGTTTAATAAATATTCATGGAAATACTTTGTAAGAACAACCGCAATTTATCTTGTTTTAAATACATATGTAAATTAAGTCAGTCCTTGTCCTTAAATTTTCAATACAGACAATGCATTTAATTTTGACCGTTAAAGTGTCATCCTACCAGAACTGTCAAATTAAGCCAAACCTCTGAGAAACTAACCGTCAGTCTCTATAATCTGTGACCAAAGCGTCAAAGCAAGCAATTTCAAGCAAACGATAAACGAGAAAGCGTCCGTCACATCATGTTTGGCTATTTTCTATTACTAGAGTAAAACAACGTTTATTTGAAATATTTCTCTTCCTTATTAGTTTGACTATAGAAACTCTGTAATTTAAAACTGCTGTTAAAGTATTGAAGCGTGATCTTAATAGTTTTGTGTAATTTTGTTATGATAATTTTGTGATGTGGAAGAGCTACTTTATAAGTTGTTCAAAACATTGACTTGTTTCTCTATAAAAAAAACTTTTTAACATCTAATTAATTGAAATTCTATTGTAAAAGTGAAACTAGACTATTGTAATTTATTTTTATTAGAAGACACGAATTGTTTATAAAACTCAACCTAGAGGAAAAGTATCTGCTGGAAACTGTCGGAGACACCATGAGTGTTGTGTTTAGAGCATTTAGGACGAGTTGCAACTATTTCATAATAGTGCTACTATCGCATTTGCGGTGCAGTACTTGAATATTTGTGCTGTGGTGGTATAGAGACTAGTGCAAGATGAGGAAGTTTAGGTAAAGTGTTAAATCATCAACCGTGGAGCATCTGGTGGGAGGCGGTGGTGCGGGTGGCTTGCTGCCCGGCGCCTCGCCCGCCCAGCATCCCTCTAATATGCTACAGCCCATGGAAGAAATGATTATCCCTCCAAAACGCCAGGCTGTTGTGGATCGTTTGCGGTGAGTTGCATTTAACCAATGATTATGTTACGATACTTTTCAAAAATTTACTCTTTTTGACTACTTATATTTATTCTTGTGCTGTAAGTATGGGCCTAACATTTTACAGATATATTAATAAAGGTTTTACTACTTGTGAACATTTAAATATAAACTGAGAATTGAATGTTGTTATTTGAATTTATGTTTTGTTTGTCACCACTGTGAGAATAAGAATAGCCAAGTGTCAACAAGTTCGTTGGATACAAATTAACAGATCTAAAATATTTTGTACTTCATAATTAGTGCATATTTACTTGCTGTCTTGACATCTAAAATATTCAACTTGTTTCATACTCAAACAAAGCAAATAGGGTATTTACTAGTACTCAATACTTGTTTCAAAATACAATACAATGTACTTACACAATACAACTTATCTTTAAGCATTAGCATAGTATAAAACAGTCTGTTTGATTATATCTTTTAAATCAATCAATTATTATGTTTTTAATGCAGTTTTCAGTAATAAATAGAGTTATTCAAGAGTCAAGTTTGTATGTATTTAATATGCATGTCATTGTATAGAATAAGCAGAGAAATTAAAAGATTTGCATGCATTCATGTGAAGCTGAGTCAGTAGTGTAATGTAATTTACAGAAGCATTCATACTATAATTTAATAATAAATAAAATATTTGTAATTCATAACTTAGTTAGACTAGTCACACTGACTATTAACTTTTTATTCTGATCTCATGGGATTGCATCTCTCATTATAATATTTATTCTGTCATACCTATATGATCCTAATTTACTCTACACTCTTAGGTATAATAGCATCCTAAGACAATTTTATTCTTTTTGTAGCGCAATGAATAAGCATAAAGAAAAGGGGGAGGGAAGTAAAAAAAATATTTTCTTTTTTATGGGAATGGGTCCCATCAGATATGCAAATTCAGCAATTTTTTTTTATTTAATGCCAATTTAGTGTAGAGAGTCTTTAACAATTGTACTAACAAAAAAGACTGTTTGTAAAGATTTGTAAATGTTTGCTAGTTACATGGTTTACAGTGAGGTCTCCTTCCCACTTCCACACTCAATACAAAACAAGGAATGAAAAGGAAAACCTGAATGTCAACCACCATGTTTTCACTTTACATGAATTTAAAGGGGTTGGAATAAGCAAGCCTGTATAAGCTTATATAAGTTTAGGATGCTTATCTATTGGTCATTATTAAAACATGTTCACTTCTGATGGAGCTTACAATGATATATAATATAATGTAATATATAGCCTTTACTCAGAGTATTTCATATTATAAGCTAATAAAGAAAGGCTCCTCCGACTATTTCCATCTTTATCTCTAAAATTCACTCTTGTATAATTAAATAAAAATTTAATGGTGACCTTCTGGTTCTCAAAATTCATTCATGGGTCGCATATTAAAAAAAGTTAGTAATTGTTAAATTAACAAGTAAACACTATTTTCAAAATTAATTTTGTACAATAAAAATATTTGTCACACATTGTCGCACTTTGTTGACCTCCACTGCTTTCGTCGCTTATTAATTTATAAGTGTCGTAATTTCCAGTCTGGATCTCTTCTATTAGAACTTAGTGTGAGTAAGTGAATTCCATATGTCCAACTTCACATAATTCTTACATTCATCAGAATCAAATTCCTTTGGATAATATTGAGTGCTGTGGAAAAAATTGTGATGTGTATATGCTACAAAGACGATGTGAAAAAATTAAACAATTTTTATTTTATATCTAAACTGAATATATTGTGGTTATTTTTGTTTCCAAACATGTAAAAAACCATAATCATATATAGTATATAGTATAAAATCGAATAACAGAGTGAATTACTTGATATAATTTCGTCTAAAAAAATTAATATTCAAAACCGCCTTTTATAGCTATTTAAGTGGTGTACGGTTTCTATTATCTTTTCTGTTCTGTTTATTGTCCTATTGACCAAAGTTACGCCATAGTCATACACGACCGGCCATATGTAAGTATACATCGTATTTAGGGACCATCCACAATTTATAAGTTACTAGGCTTCGCATGTATTACAAATCTTTGAATTTCTCGGCTTATTCTATACTATAACACGTGTGTATTATATAAATAAACGTTCCTATTAAATCACTTTATCTATCGTTGGAAACTGCATTAAAATCTGTCTCGTACGAACAGACAGCGGCGCCGGCAACATTGTTTTATACTGTGTAGATCACGCGTTTCTTTACATGTTATTTTTTCTGTATTTACACACGTATATTATTTTTTCTGTATTTTTGCCACCCCCATTTTCCTAACACGCTGTTCTGATGCTATTTCATATTTTAATAGTTAAAATTTCGTGTTTTATTACTAACATTTAAATATGATGTTACAAAATTGAAGACTACGAGACTAGTAGTGAACTTATATTAACTTTATACAGTGTCATATGTCACAACCCCTTCTTAAATAGTGACGTAATTTATGGATGCCCCCTTATAACATTGCAGACTGCAGCCAAGTGCAGTTAGTGGAATTATGTCGGAACATCAGTGTGCAGCGCTAAAAGTAACGGTATCGAAGTGTTGGCGGTCCACAAATATTAGATACACACCGTTTTGTTTGCAGTACGGTTTAGTTACATAATGCTTTAATATTCAGATTGAAAAAAACTAATAAAAAGTTATAAAGATTCTTTCAATTAAAATAAACACGTTACGTAAAGTTATTGGCCTACCTGAAGGAATGTATTCTTTACTATATTACAGATTTGTTAGATAAAATTTATATTGTGAATATTGGACGTCACAGTCAAAAAGTCGTGCGTCTCGGGGTACGAAGGGGACAGGAAGTAAACTGTCAGTCAAAGTAAACTGGAAGTATTTTTACTCTATAAAAAGTATAACTATAGGCATAGGCAATGCCCGCTTGAAACGACACATTTCGAAGGATACTTATAGCTCTAAAATGAAATGTAATAAGTAATTTGCATTTATTTTGAACTCAGTAGAATATGATTTTTTTAATTCTTACAATTAGATATAATGGAATAAATACTTCTGTTTGTCTGACTTTCTTAGACACTATATATAAGAAGTTAAGAAGTTTTTATATGAGGGCGTAATAAGATTTCTTCAGGGTCGGCAAGGCCTTAGTAATATTCCTGATGTTTAGGATTTCTATGGGCAACTGTATTTATTTTCACTAGACGGGCCGTGTCATTTTATTTGTATGCCAACATTGTAGAAATATATATTTGACTCCTTGACTATACAATCGTACAAAATATACTGTTACATGCCAGACGTGCCTATAACTTAATTGCTTCGTTGTACTAACTGAACTACCGATCAATATTGCTAACGTAACTTGAGGGACGATCCCTTTTACTAATGATGGGATTATATGTAGGGATACACCCTGATCGCTGCGACCTTGTGTATTTCACGGCGGTTGTGGGCAATAATTATGTGCCTGGATATCTCGTAACTTCTTTGTGCACTAACAACTATTTACTTTATATAAGTCACCAAATACAGTATTATGTTGTATTAGAACGCAGAAAGTATTCCTAATATAATCTTCTATCTTCACTTCCAACTTTAATTCCAATCCGATCAGCCATTGTATAAATTTATTTATTTACTATTTATAAAAATATGCTGTGTTTACTTCCAACGATTTAGTTAGCTTCATTAATGCTTCTCTTGTCTTAAAGTAATAAAAAAATATCCATATAACTTATTTTTGTCTTATTTTGTTATCCGTAATGTAATTAAACTGTCAAGTGCGTTGAGATGTCTGTATATGCTTGAATGTTAGCTGTTCCAACGATATTTTGGAGAAAGCAGTTAAATGTGGAGTGATAAGATCATGGTTTTCATCGTATTGTGTAGCTTATGTAGCAGAAACCGGTAAACGGCGATGCTAATCTTGCACAATAATTTACCGTTCCGTGTAAGCGGGCTTATTTAAATCTTTTTATTATTCTAAGTACAATAAGTCTAGTAATCATAGGATGTCTGTTTTCCTGTATATATACCTAATTCGCAGTAATAATTAAAATTTATAGAAGTAATTGTAAATCTATGTTGTTCTATGCGAATAAGTTCTGTCTGAATTATTTTAGATGCATTTTGATAGTAATTGTTATGATAACCGTGTAAAATGTGGCCAAAAGGTATACCAGTTGTAATAATAAACATTTGTATTTAATTTACATGTAATATTTATGAACGCGTGTATTGTCATAGAATTGAATCACATCTGCGTAAGACCTTACTTTACCTCCATGACTGTACTAAAAACTATTACCCCATATTTGAAGGACGAAAATATACGTTATTATTTTAATAAAAATTAATAATACTATACAAAATATTAGTCATGATGAATAATCTCCTATAGAGTGTTCGATGACTCGAGCAGGCGGTCTATTATTGCTGTGCTATGCTGTGTTCACTAGCCAAAATAGCACCTGTTAGAGTAGCGTGTGTTGTACCAGGTTGACGAGTTATTATTGATGACAGGTATCCGATATATGCAACTTTTATAGTGTAAGCAATCTTTTTCTCCTATAGTAATTTATAGTTAGTAAATAGATATGATCTGAAGGAGTGTAGCGGTGTCAGCGACATAGCGTGACACACAATCGGGACTTATCGAAGGCGTTGTTTGCGTTACGACAACCGGCTGGTCAATGAACTAAACAAAAACACCTACGTGCGAGTTTACAGTGCATCGAGCGCGGCGGGAGTCATCGTTTCCTACTGATTCCTTCCGCGGGGCCCGTTCCTGGTCACCGTAAGGTCTATTTATACTCTGTTAATTGTATGCAATGCAGACGTACAGTTCATAATGTAAACCGCATTACTATTAAGGACATAATCTAACTAATCACTTTACACATTGTAAGTACCTATTACTCGTTTTCTTTTGTCTCCTCATGTCGTATACTTACATGATCAGTACTATGTACTCCACGTCATGAGACGCCCTTGTTAAAA